AACATCGACGCCATATTTTTTAATGCCATTAATAATTTCGTTTCTCATGCTTCGATTGTTCAGCGTCACAAGTCTTTTTTAATTCAATATAGACATATTCTTATTATAATTTAGCTATACATGTTTTACAATAAAAATAAATTTTGTTAGTTTTTTGTGTACATACTAATGAAGTACGTTGGTACATACGTTAGTCTAACCAATACTCATAAGACATCAAACGCTATGATTATAAATTCAGTTGAAATAGCCGACCGTAGTATTTTTGCGTAAAATGTATTTGTTTTCATTGTAAAGTCCTTTTACTCTCAAGTTTTAAATTAAATAAATAAATTTTATTCCCTTTTTAAATATGTATTTCAAGTAACGACACAATTTAAACAATTTATAAGGATACAGAATAATAAATATATATATAGTTAATAGTTTTATTTCTCAATAAGTAAATTCCATTCATTTTCATTCTTATCTGTATTTTATTCATGTACAATTATATCTCTTAACCTTAAAAGTTTAAACTATTGTTGTCAAGTGATAACTATAATAAGAAACGCCCACAAAATATATTAATTAATCTTCATAATTTACACAAAATAAGAAAGTATTATATTTTTACTGAAGGAAAAGTCTTTAATAGAAAATCCTTGACTTATACTGTACAAGTATTTTTTTTCAATAAAAAAGGAAAATACTCGTATAAATTGAATTACTATTTATTTAATAAAATGAATTAAGATCTTGATTTGAATTTCTGATTAGGGACCAAAAAATATCTGTTCGATCATTCTGGAAAATCACCAACCTTTGACAGATGCACTTTGACATAGATAAGCTAACTCGCTGTCTCGTGTCTATTCAATAAACATGCATAATGCGTATTATAATTGTTACCAATTTTTAATTAAACAATAAATATTATTTTTTCTGAAATTTCAATAAAACTCAGTTATTTCATCAAGTTTATTAACAATTACATAACACTTAAAAATTTCTGACGTCTGTCAACTTCATGTAATTTGATATTTTGGTATAGTGCATTTGATTTAAGCTGAGCTTTGCATTTGTGTGAGTGCACACGGATAGTGTAGGTGTGATGCCAAATTTTTGAATGCCACGTTCTTTTCTAGTTTTATCCGGTTTATTCTGTTTTTACTTTGCCATGCACCTTCCGCACTTCACCCTTTATAATGGTAGAAACTTCAAATGTTGAAAACGCAATATCAAGTGAAGAAAAATTTGTATTGTTTTTTCAAAATTTTTATTACCTAATATTTTTTTTCCATAATATTTCCATTTAGCCTTCCACATGTTTCGCTTATTTAATTTTAATCTAGAATAACTCTCGCACTTATATTATGTATCTATTTAACATATAATAAAATGTAATTCTAAAAGTTTTTTGTCTAACACTACTTTTACATTCACTCACACAAATACAAAGCTCAGCTTAAGTCTAACGGGCTATACGATCTGTAAAGTTTGTTAGGCATATAAAATGTAAGTAAACAATATATTTTATGATCTACTAGACTTTATTATTCAATTAATTTGTTTATAAAGAACTGTTGTGTATGGAGCATTACTATAATTCGAAAATACCGAATACACACTGTACCGCGTACGAGATTTTATCAACTTGAACAACAATTATGAAAACTGTAGATTTAAATGGGAATGATATAATTTTCACTTGAAAACGACTTAACTGACAAAATCTAAAGGTGGCACTTCACTTGGCGTTGCGTATTCGCCGCATTTGTCCAAATAGCGCAAACATAACATCCACACTTTTCATGTCAACAAAAAGTCTTTACGCGTTTTCGCTTATTTGTGTATGTGTCTTATTTGTGCAAATATATATATATATATATATATATAATGAAGACGAACATATCTTCCACACATGGTCTTATTTAGCCGAACACAACAAATAAACGCCAAGTGAAATGTCACCTTAAGTTAAAGACGTAACTTGCTATTAATAAACTGTGCATTATATTTTATTATTCACTCCAAACTCTTCACATAAATCACAAACATAATTTTTATTGAATCGAAGAGAAAAATTCACATGACTTACAATCTAAAACCTACATCACAAATATAGAGACAGAATTCTTATCACATTTCGAGGCACTTCTTGTTGACATACATATTGTTAACTTAAAATAAATATCACTGTAGAAAACTAATATGATGATTAAAATTTTATTCCACGTTATGTAACCTGGGGTAGAAATATTGTATGTAATATTTGAAACCGACTTCAAAAAAGATATTTATATAAAGTCTGATAAGCATGCATTGAATATTTTTATTAAATTTTACATATTATTGACACTTATATGTAATCGTGGATAGTGCAAAACCGCGTAACTAGCATTGGATAATACCACGTATATACACTGAAAGCACTGAAAGAGAAGAAGAAAGTTAAAGGTGAAATATTTTCTAAATTAACGACAATTAAAGTAATTTTTTAACAATCAGTAATTATTTAGTGTTTAATCCATTACTAATTAAAATAAAATATTCTGATACGCGGAATTATCTAATGCTAGTTACGCGGTTTTGCACTATCCCCGACGATATGATAAAAAAAATGTTTTCTTGCACATACAAAGCTATGTTATATTTGTAACATATCACAATAGTTATAATTAGGGCCCGGATAAATATGTATTATAAAAATCTAAAATATGTACATAAAATATGGACGAAATAATCAAAAATATAGAGTAATTAAATACTTTCATAATTAAACATTGTTTTACTGTAAGAAAAGGGTCACTCGTGACGTACATCGTTAAGTTTCATTTCAAAAACGATATAACAGTTTTATTCAACTTCCATTCCACTAACCTTATCAAATTGGTTGCAATACACAATGACGTGCTTCTTTAAATTATCAAAATGAAAACTGAACGTTTGGTTGAAATATAGTAGTATTACATCTGTTGATTGGTCTCATCTCAAGTCACATGACGTTATGACAGAATTTTGTTAATTTTTTTTTTAGCGTATAAAATCCTTTATTTTTATCCAAAACATTAGTGGCGGGAACGTAAATTTTATGTATTTTTGTGAATATATGGGTGATTACATTATCTTGTAAAATATGGACTTAACTTTGAAATATGGTAAAATATGGAACATAAAAAGTTGGTTTTTCACAGTCTAAATGTGACAAACCATGTAAAAAACACATTCTAGACCGAAAATCGCGTAAATTATGTATTTACATATTAATCCGGGCCCTAGTGATAATATTTTGGCTCTCCTGTGTTATGTGAGTAATAAGACAAAAAAGGTGTCTACCGATTTAAAAGTTACCCTAAAATGGAAATAAACCACAAACATGTAAAAATTTAAAATAATCAGATTAAAATCATTTTTATCTATCCCTTTCTTTCACTGGGGAACAGTTGAGACAGAAATATTTAATATACCCATTTTACTATAGTACAAATTAATATTTATAACACATATGTCAATGTCCCTGTTAAAATTTTGTTTAATAATAAAACTTTCAACATTGTGAATGATATTGTCGGATTTATCCCAGGATATTATATCGTGTGCAGAACAAATTATTATATTTAAATCACTAATAACACAGAGATACAAAGGAACCCATAATTATGTACAAAGTAAATTTCTTGAGTATTTTTTCTGATTTTCTAAACTCTAGCTGCAGGATAAAATATATAACATGAAATTATATCAGAATCATTTGAATACAAATCATGCTACAACACAAGTAACTAAAATTCTCAATAGAATTAATTATACATTTCTTATTGCTAACACAAAACTACCTTTTTTTGAAGTCGGTTCTATTTCTTTATGATTAACTTATATTAAAGAGGTAATAAAAATAGGAATTAAAAAAAAAGTCCCCGGTGAACTAACGGAAATCTCATCGGTGGTTTTAATATACATTTAAATTAAAATAATTATGGGGATCGAAGAATGTATTGTTGTGATACTGAAACATAATTTTCTTGATGTCTTAGATTCACAATTTGCTATCGCGTATTCAACCTGAAATATAATTAAATTATATTAGTACTAGTAGTTTAAGATATTTATTGTTTTATTTAATAAAATAATTCTTTTTTTATATGTAGAAAAAATTCTATGTTAAAATTGAATTTAAAGTAAATTTATGATTACAAATTATTAAATATTAAATTAATTTTTGTTTTTCTTCATAAACAGTTTACTTTATTAGTGAAGAATTATTAAAATATCTTGGATTAAAATTGAGGAGTATTCTTTTTTTCACTTGGAAATTTACGAGAGATGTATTTAATACACAAGGCAAAAACTTTGTTTCTTGTTTTAAAGAATTCAAAGTGGAATAAAATAGAGACAAAGTTAATACAGATAATATTTTTGCAGACCCTGGCTAAAGCTGGGAAATTGCCAGGAAGAAAGTTTATATAGAGAAGTAGTAAACAAAGATACTACTTATATACATTACATATTTTTTTACATAACTGTGTTTTGAGTTCAAAAAATAATATGATAATTATTTATTAATAAATAGAATACTAAGATATCTATGAAAAATTAAGAACCAAAGGAATATTAGTACAAATGGTTGTACATATATGTATATTTGAAATTATGTAGGTTTACAAAAACTACAACACATTGTATTAGAATTAAAAATTTTCACCAAATCAGTTTAGTAGATATTTAGAACTTTCTTTTATATAAGATCACAGGAATTTTCAGTATGTCTGTCACTTATGTTTTTGGAGTTTTGCTTTGAATTTGTATAATAACAGAATCTATGTATTATAAGGGAAAAAATTATACGAAATTTTTAATATCTTTTTTTCTAAAATTTTGTTATATCATTATTTATATAATATGATTCATTACTATCTTGCAAAAATGTATATGTTATTAAAAAACGCGTAATGATTCGTATGTAGTATGATAATTCACTTGTACTAAGGATACAGATATTAACATATGTATGTATATAATTACTTTTGTTGCGGTCTAGCCTGCGTTGTATCGACGCAGGTGCTCTTCAAATGCATCGACAGAAGACCTTTAGCCACAAAGCCCCGACCACACAAACCGCAAGTATAAGGACGAGCTCCGCTGTGGTATCTGAAATATACATTATTACATATAAATATACTAGATGACCCGGCGAACTTCTAATAGCCCTATAATCAAGAAATATCTGTTACGTTTTTTTTTATTTATATTTTTGGAGTTTACCTATTAAAGCCCTAAATCACCGTGTTTTGAAGTGCGACAGAATAATATAAAATATTGATGATATATAAAGATTTTTTTTTTTTTTTTTTTATAATATAGGGGGCAACCGAGCAGGCTAGCAATCCGATGACATGATCACCGCCGCCCATGGACACTCGAGCCAGAAGGCACCAGAGTGCGTTGCCGGCCTTTCAAAAAAAGGTACACTCTCTTCTTGAAGCACCCCAAGTTGTAGTGTATTGGAAATATGTCGCGAGGCAGCTGATTCCACAGGATGGTGGTGCGTGGCAGAAAATTTCTTTTGAAACGCACTGTGGTTGACTGCCAGCTGTCAAGGTGGTGCGGATGGTATTGCAACCTGTGACGTGCAGTGCGGTGGTGGAATTCAGCTGCCGGCAGTAGCCCAAAGAGCTCCTCAGAGCATTCCCCATAGTAAAGGCGGTAGAAGACGCTAAGAGAGGCAACGTCTCTCCGCAGGTCTAGAGTATCAAGCCGATTGGTAAGATTGGTATCGTCGACCATTCGAGTTGCACGATGTTGGATTCGGTCAAAAGGAAGAAGTTGGCACCGGGGCGCTCCAGCCCAGAGGTGGGAGCAGTACTCCATGTGAGGTCTAACCTGCGCCTTATAAAGCGTCAGGCGTTGGCCCGAAGTGAAGTACCGCCCCGCTCTGCGAAGTACGCCAAGTTTTTGCGATGCCAACCTGGCCTTATCTTCCAAGTGACTACGAAACTGTACATCACTCGAAATGGTGACACCCAGAATACCAATACTGGCTGTAGGTTTAAGGGAATTGCCCTGGAACCGAGCTGTTACTACAAAGGGTGCTTTTTTGGCGGTGAACGCGCAGACTTGTGTCTTTGTAGGGTTAAATGTAACCAGATTGGTTTGGCCCCAGGATGACACTTGATCGAGTAAGGACTCGATGTAAGACACAAGCCCATTCCGACACTCAGCGACGTTATCCCGAGAAAGTGCGCGACGTCCGGTATAAAGCGTATCACCAGTACTGTCATCTGCATAGCAATGAACATCGCCGACTTGCAGCAAGTCATTGATATGCAGAAGGAACAGAGTGGGAGACAAAACGCAGCCTTGTGGGACACCAGCATTCACGGGCATTAAATCCGAGCACAAACCGTCGATAGCGACCTTAATGCTGCGCTCCGTAAGAAAGCTGGCTATCCACGTACACAATTTCTCAGGAAGCCCATAGGAAGGAAGCTTCGAAAGAAGCGCTTTGTGCCAAACCCGATCAAAAGCTTTCGCTACGTCCAAACTGACTGCTAAAGCCTCACCTTTGCTCTCAATAGCCGCAGCCCATCGATGCGTTAAGTATACAAGAAGATCACCAGCTGACCGTCCGTGACGAAAGCCATATTGGCGGTCACTGATCAACTGATGTTCCTCCAGATACCCAAGAAGCTGGCGGTTGATGATGGACTCCATTATCTTGGAGAGCAAAGAGGTAATAGCGATGGGTCTGTAATTGGAGGGGTCAGAGCGGTCACCCTTCTTAGGGATCGGGTGCACTAAAGCAGTCTTCCAGGATTTCGGGACAACGCCGGCGGAATAGGAGAGCCGGAAGAGACGCGTTAGAACTGGTGCCAGCTCCGGAGCACAAGTCCTAAGCACAAGAGGAGGAATACCGTCGGGGCCGCTCGACTTGTTGATGTTCAGAGAAAACAAGGTTTTACGCACAGTCCTTAGTGTAAATTTAACCTCGGGCATAAATCCCTCGACACGCGGGATGGTAGGCGGCGAGTACTCCCTGTCATCTAAAGTCGAGTTATTGGCAAATAGAGAACCGAGGAGATCAGCTTTCTCCTTTGCCGAATGCGCCAACGAGTCCTTCTCCATGCGCAGGGATGGTATGGATGACCTGCAGAAGTTTCCTTGCACAGATTTAGAGAGGGCCCAAAAAGCTCTCGTTCCCGAGGGAAGGCGGGCAAGCTTCTCTCCAAGTCTAGCAATATACTTTGATTTTGCTCTAGTGATTGCTCTTTTGAAGGATCTGGAGCTGGAGTTGTATTCCTTTTTGAGATTAACGGCGTTAGGACCATTCGATGTAGTCGCATCAACCCAGGCTCGATAGCAGGCCTGCTTACGACGTGATGCCGTTCTACAGGTCCGGTCAAACCAGGGCTGTGACTTGCCACCGATGGGCACCACAGAGCTAGGAATAAATAATTCCATACCCTGAAGCACGACATCGGCGACAGAGGCGGCACAGACATCAGGGTCACTCTCCTTAAAGCAGACTCCATTCCAAGGGTAGGATGCAAAGAAGGTCCGCATGCCATCCCAGTCCGCTGACCTATAGTGCCACACGCGACGACTACCTGCACATCGCGGCCTAGGGGAGCGTGTAATCGGCACTGTACTCCAGATGAGGCAGTGGTCAGAAGAGCCGATAGGGGCATCAACATGCACCTCGTACCCTTCTGGATGCGAGGTCAGCAGAAGATCCAACAGTGAAGGCATATGATCATTGACATCTGGCACCCTCGTAGGCGATGTCACCAATTGAGTGAGATCATTGGCTAGAGCAAAATCGTGAAAAGACCTCCCTGCATGGTCAGTTGTTCTTGACGCAAGCCATTCGGCATGATGAGCATTAAAATCGCCAAGAATGACAATTTCACAACCGCACTGTGGAAAGGATATATCATTAATATTTAAACTAATATTTAAAGTGAGTGAACATATTAAAAATATATAAAAATGAATGAAATAAGTTTTTGATAATCGTTTTTTAAAACATCGTGTTGGTTAGGAGCCTTAGTTATAAACATTCTAAGAATATGTGTGTGAAATAGTACTGCTTTATCTTAGTGGTTTATTTGTTTGCAAATGACATCACTGATATTTGAAAATTATACATATACTCGTTTTTGCCCACGACTTCTTTCGCGTTAATTTTGGAATTAGTAATATATGTATAGCTGACCGTGCGAACTCTATTCCGCCTTAGTGGCCGTAAAGAACCAAATATTGGAGTTTATTACTTTTTTTACATTTTCGATCGAACAGAATTATATATCTTATTTCTGTTTCCTGGTTCTAAGCTATCCACCTTCCAATTTCCATTACTACAGTCATTCTTAAGTTATAAGTTGTGTAACTAAGGCAACTTTCTTTTATAAGCACGTATGAAAGTATGTGTGTATGTATGTATGTTTGTTACCTCTCATGTATAACTAACGTCGATCTCTGTGAGAAAGCCTTTCCACAGTGCGGGCAAACATGAGGCTTTTCACCTGAATGCACTCGTTCGTGTAATGTTAAATTACACTTCTTCACAAAACCTTTTCCGCATACTCTGGAATAAATATACATACATATTAATAATAATTATTATTATAATAAGTCGTTGAATACTTTATAATTCTAAATTTAAAGTTATTTACTTATATTTAATTTGTTATTATTAATTAGATATTCTTATACAAACTAGCGCCATCTGTGTATTGGTAAGGGTAAATTAATGGTAATAAAATTCTTTGCAGTAATTTAAATGTCTAAATCAATAGATTTTATGATTAAAAATTAGAAACATAACATGTTTGACATTATATTAAATGTTTTGTACGAGAATAGGTAAAGAGAGGAGCTTGGACAATGGAGTTGAGTGTTAAATAGGAGCCCCTTAAACCTACTCCTGGGTCGCAAGTCCCAGGCACTGTTGAAGCTAATACAATTTTTTTTTTGTGAAAATCTATTGTTTTAAGAGCTTTATTCAAATACTAAATGTCTAAGATAATTAAGTGTTTTGTTAAAACAAGAAAATGTCTAAATATAATTACTTTTATTTGTGACTAGAAGACCTGGCGAACTTGGTATCGCCCTATAATCAAGAAATATCTATTACGTTTTTTTATTTATATTTTTGGAGTTTACCTGTAAGCCATAAATCTCCGTGTTTTGAAGTGCGACAGAATGATTGACATATTAGTTAGTTGTCAAATCTAATGTAAAAAAAAACGTTTGTATGGGAAATAGAAAAGGGCTGTTTTTATGATTTTCCCAGTAATTAATCAATTTTTTTCAGCTTTTATACCTTCCCTGAACCTCCACGAACATTTCAAGACTAAGATAACATAAATCCGTTCAGCTGTTCTCGAGTTTTAGCGAGACTAAGGAACAGCAATCCATTTTTATATATATAGAAGAAGAAGATTGTGGACAAAATTTAATATTGAGAATTTAAACTATTGATTTATCAATTAAAATCAGTTCAGCAGTTTTTGGCAATCAAGAGAAACAAACATATGTGCAAAGTCTTTAAAATTACCTGTATGGTTGATAATTATATTAAATTACTTTGACTTTTATATACAAGAATTTCAGATGCTGAAGTAAAAAGTAAAATATAGAAAATTTACTTTCTTTGTACAAAAATGACATCTTTTTCTGAAGCGAATATTATTTACTTGGGGACTTTAAACTAGATATTCATAATTATTTTCAAAATAATTTTTAGTATCCTATAGAATACTAAAATTTTATTTACTATTTTATATTTTACTAAAATTTTCACATCAGATTATTTTCTTTGAAGAAATTATCTGCATTAAATGGACTTTCTTCTACTTCTTCTACTTGGCAATTTCCCAGCTATAGCCAGGTTCTGCCTTACATGTTGTGAATAGTTTTTGGCTATTTGTTTTTACGACCGGCCGCCTGCCTGACATCAACCCTCTTTTTGGGAATCAACATTAATCAGAGATGTCTATATACTCTTAGAAAGTACATATGATTCGGAAAAATCACATTGGTACTTGCCCGGGTCAGGATCGAACCCGCGCCCTCGGCGACGAGAGGCGGGCCCTTTAACCACTGAGCCACCACTGACTTTTTAAATGGACTATCGTCGAAAAATCCTCTATATATACAAATATAACAAAAATATTAGACTCACTTGCATACATTAGGCTTGTAGCCGGTGTGAATCCGTATATGAAACTTGAGATGCTCCCTCGATGTTAGAGCTTTGCCGCATACATTGCAAAGGAAATTCCTTTCACCGGAATGTGCTCTGAGGTGTCTTCTTAATGAGTTGCAGTGGGCGAAGCCCCGGGCGCAGACCCCGCAGCGGAGTCTCGCGGCTCGGTTTAGGGCTTCCGGATGGGCCGTAGTCCTATGGGCTAATAGACAACGGAGATATGGAAAGCCTTCGGGACAGACGTCGCAAACGAAACGTTTATCTGGTAGGACTCCGCCCCCCGGGGCTCCGGGCTTGTCCTCGATATCCGCTTGATGAGTGAGACCTGAAAACCATAGATTATAGTATTAGAGAAATAAATATATTACTAATATTATAAATGCTATAGTATGTAAGGATCATGAGATCTAAGATTTTCGCGAGTTTGATAATAAACTACATGCTCCCGACGTTTCGGCTACTTTTCAGCAACCGTGATCACGGGCACAGACATCTCGTCTTATAATCAAAAATAAAAACGCGAAAAATAATCCGAAAATATTAGTTTCATTTAAATGAGTATGTAAGGATGTTTGATACTTTCTTCAACTACTGATTTTGATGAAACTATCTAATTATGTAGATAGAATAGACTAAAATTTATTCAATAATTCCTGGTAGTTAAATAAGGGATATGCATGGTAATGGATTGTATGAATTCACGTTACATGGACTACAGATGGCGCTGTCAGTTGCCTTATATATTTTATTTATGTATACTACAAATTTTTCTCTTAAACCTATTGGGATTACATAGACGAAGACGAACTAGTTAATCTATAAAATATAAAGAGTATTGTTGAAGTTTTCTTTAACTGTTATTCAAACTAAAAAGAAATGATAGATGGAATCAAATTTTAGTTCTTACATTTCAATCTTACTGTTAATTTAATAGAAATTGATGAAATAGATTAAAGTTTGAAAACACCATCAAAAAACTTGTTTGCAATTTATTACAACAGCTTGTAAGTATGTTTGCTTTAATATATATTTATACATTTTTCTTTAGTCTCTCCGTGTGGATTAAATTAAATTTTGATAAACAATTGTAATGTGTATAGAAAAAAAATCATTAACTATAATTCAACAACTACGTATTTTTGTGTCTCATTCCATTATTCTTTTTCTCCTATGGTTCCAATCCTATGAATATTTTAGCACATAATTTGATAAAAATAGATCAATTGTTTTATTTTTTATCACAATCCTAAAAAAATCTATTAATTGTGTTAGTTGGACTGACTATTAAAAAATATAATAAGAAGCGATATTGAAATGAATGGAAAAAATGAAAAAAAAATGAATGGAAAGTTACTTAATGACTATAATTAATATGTATTTGTAACCAAGAATTTTAAGAAGAATTAAATTAAGTACTATGTAATTCAAAATTTAAATAGTACTTAAAAATTGTAGTTAATTCAAGGACTATCTAACTAATTACAACATGGTTAGAAATATATACATCATAAAAAATATATGAGAAAAGAAAGCAAATTAAAGAAAAAATGAACATATACATTTTTCCATGAATCTAAACTTAAATATTTAATTATATAAAATGAATAAAAATTCTAACAAATCGGACTAGCCATTTTTGAGCAAATCCCTAATAAATTAAGACACATATGAAAAATGATCATACAGGACCATACTATTTACCTTCAGATTAAAAATAAGACTTTTGACATCAATTATGACTTTTGCAGTGAGACTTTACATTATTTTTTTTACCACCTATAATGAAATCTCAATATTAATACAATTCCTTCCTTCTACCTGGCAATTTCCCAGCTTTAGCCAGGGTCTGCCTTACATGTTTTGAATAGTTTTGCTAATTGTATTTACGACCGGCCGCCTGAGTGACATAAACCCTCTTTGGGAATGCATTAATCAGTGATGTCTTAATATTCTTAGAAAGTACATATGACTCGGAAAAATCACATTGGTACTTGCCAGGGCCAGGATCGAACCCGCGCTCTCGTACACGAGAGACGGGACTTTTAACCACTAGGCCACCACTGATTTTCAATATTAATACAATTGTGATATACAAATGGAATAATCTACTAGAACTTCTATGATATGATATGACATGATATGTTCAAATTCCTATGGCATCAAGAATAACTAAATGGAACTTCTATAATATGTTCACGATCCTAAGTTTTCATAGTAATTTATTACATACAAAAACCTACCATGTTTCAATATAAGATTGTGATCTCTGAATGTTCTAGCACAGATCACACATCTGTAGGGCCTCGTGTCTCTGGCGTAATGACGCTTCCAATGCTCCGACCACTCAGCTAAACCTCCGGAAACCACCTGAAATGTAACACACAGACATACGTACATACCAGATATAGACTTATATTCAATTATTGACTATGTATGATAAAGAAAATTTACAATTTATTGTGTGTAGAAATCATAAACTATTAATTCTACTCATAAAATATGGTTCAAATTGAAAATATATACTGTTGCCATTTAATTAAATATGATATTGGCATATGTAAAATACTATGCTCTGATACTATTTATTTATGTAAAATGTATATTTATAATTATTTAATTTTATACATGTATGTAAATATAATATATACTTAACAAGAGTTAGGTGTAAATTGGACAGGTTTAAACTCACATAAATTTTTAATGATTTTTTATAAGGTAATCTTATTCAATTTATAATATACTAGTTTTCCGCCCGCAGCTTCGTCCGTGTGGAGTTTGGTTATATCGCGTTTCCAAGAGAACCTTTCAAGTTTGGGATAAAAACTAGCCTATGTTCTTTCTCAACATCAACTCTAGTTCTGTACCAATTTTATGAAACTTTTGTAGTATATATAAATTTTACTAACCTTTTGACACCGCAGACAGCGCTGCACGTCGCCTGGTGGAGGCGGTGGCGCAGTCTGTGGGGCCGTCGCTGAATCACCATGCTGCCTGAAACATTTTGAAAGAAGTCATCAGAATCTATGAAGTTATATATAAAGACTACTTTAAAATCATATAAGATCCTTGATAGTAATGATTCTTGTGCAATTATAATTTTTAATTTGCTTCTGTATGCTTAATCAAAGTTTGTATCTCACAATATATTATATGGAATGTTAACAGTAAATCCTTCAGAAACGAAAATCGTTTTAATCGATAGTGTAACAATAGGGTATATGTATATACATTTTAACATTTTATAACTAGATTACTCAAGATATAACCTGTATTATCTTGAAAAGTTTTGTACATAGCTCCAAAATTAACATTGAATGAAACAAATCTTAATTTCAAAACATTAAGACAGAAAATAGTATAATTTTTAATAACTACAACTATGGATCAAGAAGATTTCCTTATATAATGAGGTTTGGATCCAAAAAATGATGAATTAAGTTAGTATTACAATATAAATAATATAGATGCCTTACTTATAATGTTGCAACATTTCCGTCTTATTGGCGCACTTCTCGAAACACATGCAGCAAGTGTAATCTGGTTCTTCTTGTTTAACTAAATCAACTTCTTTTTTAATAACACCTAAATCTAAGTCATTATCAAACCCATCGTCCGGCCAGTCCTGTTTTTCCTTTCTTTTCCTATTTCTTTTATCTTTCTTTTCATTGATATTACTATTGACTTTTCTAGGCTTTTTTTTCTTTTTGATTTCTATTAGTAATTCATCCTCGCTGGGATCAGATGGTATGTTATTCAGAATATCTTCATCGCAGCATTCCTCTTTAACTATCAACGGTGTTTCCGACCTAGGTTCGGACTTCACTTGGAAGTTTTCATTTAAATTTGTCTGTGTGGAACGCTCGCATAGAGCTTGAGTCGGCGGTGAGTGTATGTTTTCTTTTAAGCTGACATTGACTGTGTTATCATCGATTAAAGTCTGTTGAAGCAAACCTCTTAACCTGGAAATTTGAAATAATCATATGTCAAATTATAAAGTATCATATTGATTATATTAATTTATGTTCCGTTGTGTTTATTATGTATTCAGTTCATGATACACATGTAGTGATCTTCAAGTGTGTTTTATGGTAATATTGAAAGATTAAGGTGATGTTAGAACATTTATTGAACTTGAACATTGAAATTGTGATTAGAATGTTTGATGACGAACGATGAATAGTCAAGCTACTATATATTAAAAGTAAAACTAAACTCATATTATATTTTATTAGAACATTTGAAATAATGTCTTCATATATTGAATAAACAGTACATTTAATTATAATTATAGAGTGAAGTAGACTTGAAGTAGTGATCGAGCTACTCCTAGCACAATTAATTAATAATTACAAAACCTTACCTGTTCTGAACTTCTATAGTTTCATTGCAAAATTGATAAAAGTCATTCACTTTACAACTGCATTTGTCACAAATCTTTTGCGGAAGCCGGTCGTTTTTGAAAACCTGTCGTAAACACAAATGTTAGAATCAAATAACAAAAATTTAATAATGTTTATGAAAATATAAGCTCACCTTTATTGGCAAATATAACGACATCTTCAAATACAAAGCGTTTCCTTCATCAAAAATATAATTATTGACGAATCTCGCTGAACAGCATAATCGACAAATATGGTCCATTTTTTTTTCAATAGTACAAAGTCAACATCTAAGTACATTCCTTAATGTTTATCCCCTATGCGAAGTGGGTATAAACTATGCACTGACAGCTTTTTTTGCCTATGTTCAGCCATTTGTCAGTATTGACCTTAAACGTAAAGTGTTGCCAGCTAGCTCTCAAAGTCTGTGTGCATTTTGCAAGACCCAAAATTTATAAATCTATATCAATTATATAGGTATGCACAAGGATTTCAGCAGACAAGAGGGTGGGAGTAGAGGGCAGGCGCGACAGGGGCCTGCGCCAAACTTTTGATTAATGAACGCAACGTTTGTAAAGTTAACTTGCTCTAGTTAAATTGCAAATATGCAAAACATTGTAAACTTGACTTTTGTGTTCCGTTTTTAGATCATTTTTATTTATATATTCTCAGAACCATACTTAGATCATATTTATATTTCATTATAGAGTTTAGTGACTTTTTATTGTATAATTATCATTTGGAAATTAAATAGACAGTGTAACATATGGTTTATGTCTTATTAATACTGTGGGCTAACTATATAAGTATATATATTTGCTTTCTTTCCTTCGCTTATATATGATACATAGGTACGAAAATGTACGAATCATTTATTTTAAATTCAAATTTAATTGCTGCTTAATTCTACAGGAGCATTTAAACTTATATTTATAGATTAAAAAACCTAAGATCGATAAAATTACTACAACTCCAATTAGAAAACCACATATTAGTACATAAATAGCTAACACTGAATTGTTTCCTTTTATAATATTTTGATTTCAGATTCGCGCGCCATAACTTCCTGAAGAGAGCTCTTTTCGCGCGATAGCCTGCGATAAAGACGTTGACTACCACTTATCTTTATCTTTATCGTGCGCCTTTAACAAATAAGGTGTAAAAAACGAGATAAAGGCGAAATACAATTGTAGATGTGTGACGCTAGCATTTCACTTACTCTTGATGTGATTGCATCATGAATTTGAGGGATTTTTATGGTGGTAGTAAGTAATTAAAACTATAACCCATAAACTTGTTAGATCAAGAGTATATAGACGTATTTATAACATTATACATAAAGGTGGTTATTAATTTCATTTGATTTTTAATACAACATATAATATCACTTAATCAGTAACATTAAGTGATATTTTATAAATATATAAAAGTATTAACTGTGTCTATATTTTATTTGGATTCTCACACTAAATGAATTACAATGTAAATGGACATGATTTTTTATATAACTGTGTAATTTTGTACAACCTTAGAGTAAAGTCATGATAACATTAACATTCCCAATTTTTACTGCTTTAGTAAATACTAATTTTATGCACTTAATATGCGGGTTAGCAGTTTTAAACATAATTTGTAAACTTAACAACTTTCTACGTATTTTATTTTCTTTTTTTTATGTATATAGATTATTATTTTAGTAAAAGAATAATTCAGAATGCTGACTGTAACTGGATTCTTCTTGATTTTACTCGTTTACTCGTTTGTGTTCACGCAAGAATAATGTTAAATCGGAATAAAAAATTTCTTTACAATAACATTATCGTAAGTAACCTGTGCGTGTGAATTGATATGTTCTATCAAAGACCTATTTGATAAGAACTGGAAAAATAGGTTCAGGTGTGGCCTCTCTGATATAGCTAACAGAAGATAAGTTATTAAAGAATTTTGAAAGAAGAACATTACATTAAAATTTTGTGTTTTACTATCCTCTAATAAGTATGACGTTAATAACTTATTGTTTTTCTCCCAACCAGATCTTCAGACTTAGTGTTATCATACTTTAATAGTTCTTGTATAATATCTATGACAACATAAATGTTTTAGTATTGTAACTATAGACATAGTGTTGTAACAAATATATTACAAAATAATTATCTCAAATGTTCATTGTTTCTAACTCCGAGTTATCATTTTATAACCTCATTGTGCAAAATCCAGGTGCATACAAATCTCCGAGACACACCTAATGTAAACTCATAAAACAAATTATTTCAAAACTCTTAAAATCTGTCATTAACACTAGACGTTTGACCCCAAACGTGACCTGTGAAAGCAGGAACCTTGAAACATTTGATAAACATAAGATGAAAATCGATACGACAAACTTGCGAGTCAACTTTGCAATCTAGTGAAACGAGCGGCACACACGGCTCTGAACTCTGACTTAACTTTAACCCACATAACAAAGTTCAATGTAAACACAATACGGTGGAAGTTTTCGAAGTTCCAGTTCACGGCCGCGGGGCGAGGGCCGACCGAGCCTCCCTCTACACCCTCGCGACGGCCGCCCCACACCAGAAGCCGCCGTCGTTCACTGTCTCCGATTGTTATCCCGACTTCTCCAGACTTATACACGTGATATTACTTCATCTTTACGATATTCCGCTACCAACTTTAACGTAGACATTTTTATGTCTAAAACATCACGCTGTTGCATTCGTTCAGTGTAATATATTGAGATTTTTTTTGAGAAATGAATGTATCTGAAATGTTTATGTGAATAAGAAAGTATCGTTTGTATATTTATTTCAGGCAATTTGCCGCTATATATTTGAAATACACCTGTCTATAAGCCTTGTAGAAAGCACACACCTTACGTCTTATCAAATGACACCGTTTGATATGCGGCTTTTGCCACCATATTTGTCATGTCGAAATTCTTCCACGTACTATAGAATACCTATTCTAGTTGTCGCATAATATGTTTTTATCTATATATGGTATACTTTTTGTTGCATTGGACTCAGATTGTCAACGTTTATCACGATAATTATTCGATTATCGACGTTAGTAAAATTCTATAGATTGTAAAGTGATTCATGCGACATTTTAAATGATTTAATTTTTATAAATAGGAATTTGGTTTCATTGGGCCTTCTGAGGTTTTATAATTTTAAGACGAATAATTATGAATACTTTGATATTAACTACCTATAAGTGTATGGGGTTTGGAATTATTCGTTTATTACAATCTAACAAGAATAATAATAATAAATCACAACGAAGAGAGAGTTAACATTAATAGAAAACTACACATAATATTTAAAACAAAAGCTGAATTTATGAAAATACAGTGATAACTAATGCCAACAAGATACAACGTAATAAACTTGTATCTCCACTGTAAACAAGTGGTAATAGTGATGGAGCAGTCGCTGGCTGATAGCGGGCCGATGGTGTCGGCGGCGGAGCAGTGCGTCCGTCAGCGGAGCCCTACTTGCGAAGCCCTACGTTAAGCCACGCGCCGTCATCAGGCCGCTTATCAATAACATGCCGATTGGTCGAGTGAAGTGTTTGCGATGCCGATACGACAAGCGGGAACCAATCGATTTCCCGTTCCATCAAATCTTATCTTAATCATGGTGGACATTCATACAGCTTGTCAGTATCCTGATATCCTATCTGAAGATATGATATAGTGTATAAATATGGGCCCATCGATCGATCTGGTCTCTATCGAAGTTGGCATTCTGATTAACATTTACTGTCGAAGCTAAATCTGTGAAACCTCTGGAGACTTGGACCAGGTGATGGTAAATAAGGGTGCGAAGTTATTACATTCATCGTAGTGACATTTATTTTTAAGCTATTCATGTTTTTTTAATGTAATTTGCTTATTAGATTTCATTTATCAAGTTTGAAGTGATAATTCAAAATAGTGCGTATGTCCATTTGATTGTATCAAAGTGTCTCTGTTTTATAAGAAATTGTTACGTAATAACATATGGTGGAATAAAAACACATGTGTTGGTTTCCCCCATGTGTTTGCCTCTAATGATATAAAGCGCTTATAGTTATAAATTTATCCTTAATTAAAATAAAAAAAATTGTATATGCTGTACAGTTTATTTAAAGCAACGTAGGTTTGCAGAGGGGAAAAAGCAGTTCTCTTATCAGAATACGTCAGCCGCACCTTTCAAGCAGTGATAGCGCGTCTACCGGCTCTATAACGGGCACGCGCATTTCGAATACTCACGGCGTGCACACAACCATTGTATATTTAATATATATTTTAATTTTTATAGCTCTTAGAAGACTTCGTCCGGATTCACGTCTGAGTTGGACAGGGGATCTTGACAGTTTCACGTGATATGCTGCCAGATCTATCTTTCCAGCTCACACGTGGAACCTCCTTCGACAAACGCCCTCTGGAGAAAACTAATGCATGGAAGATAAAACTGGCGTTAAGGATTAAGTGGAGGTGTGATCTCTTCACTTTTTTTGTTTAAAGTGAGATTCAACTCCTCCAACTTAACCCTGAATCGCAATAGTCGTCAATATTCTACAAATGTATAGTTTTTAATCTATTGTTCACCACTTAGAATGTATATTACTTATTCGTAATCTAATATGATTTCTCGTTTCTAATTTTAATAAATATGCTTTATTGTTTTTACATATGTGTATTATTTTCCCTATAATAAATTATTTATTACTTATTTCCTTATAATAAAGAATTATCAATGTGAATACATAGAGTTTCATTTCAAAGTTACCGCTTAACGCTTAGGGCGCCACTGTTCGCGCATGCGAGTATTATGAAAGACCCAAGACTTTGGAACCAACCCGAAGTGCATCACAAATCAGTAAAAAAAATCACAACACTGAACAAAAAATGGCCAAAAAAATGTTGGTAACACCGGTGCGCTAAAAAAGCTTGCAAACTTCACGCACATAACCTGCGCTGGACATCGACTCGTCCTATCTAACTCTGGGAAAATGTATATTGATTTTTCAAAGAAAAGTCAACCGATGTAACAAAACACCATTCGCGGAGTGTTTATACGCGTATTATAGCGTCGCGGTCGAAGTGTAGTGTCGTCGAGATGGTGCGACGGTATATCTCGGCGTGTTCCGAGTGAGATTAGAGAGAGTGTCGCGTTGCTCGGCCGACGGCCCGGAGCCTGGCCGCGGCCAGGGCCTGGGCGCGCCATGGACGCCGCCGCCGATCCGCTGCGAGCGGTCAGGCCGTGAGTATCGGGTTTACGACGTCTCCTCTGTTTTCGTGCCATAAGATCCCTCTTAGTTTCAGTCGTCTACTTACGTGGTAGATTATTTTGGTCCCTGCGAGCTCATTCGACATTGCGAAACCGTGCGCGATCGTTTTTCGCTTTAGCGCAAAGCCGACATTCTCTCGGTGTTGCAGCGTCACGGCCTCCGCGACGTTGCGCCATTTCGAGCGTTCGGATCGTCCGTGAGAGTGAGCCGAGGCGAGGGCACGGCGACGTCGCAGCGGCAGGGCGGCAGGGCGCCGTCGCCGATAGCCATCTCGTAGCGCGGCGGCCGAGCGTGACCGCACCGCCACCGCCTTGCGAGCGAGCCTTTCAAGTCCCCTTATATCTCATACGAATCGCCGCAGACTTCATCTTAAATGAGAATCGTGTTTACAATTTTCGCGAGTCATACGGTACCTGTCCCGCCTCCCTTTGTGCGAGGACAACACGAGAGGGCCTAGGCTGACGCTCACGAGACAGTCGAGTGAAATATGGCTAGGTGGTAGCTGCTATACGATGCACTATACATAACATAGCTAGCGTACGTCCCTACCTATCTATAGTGCAGCAAGGCACCAAACTACATACCTACTCAAACAAAGCATTTGCTCTCAAATCCATAATTCTGATCCAACATTGTGTTTTCGTGTTCTTTGTGATACCCGTGCAACGTCTGTGCAGTGTTTGTGTTTAAAACATTATTAGTGTGTTACGAGAACATCTGTGTTTGTCATTAAATTTATTTATTGCACATTTTGAGGTTAGGTTAGTGATTTTTACGAAAGTTACCGTACAGAGAGCATTGTACGTGAATATATAGCCAGAGAACACTTTAAGTATTGATTAGCAGTTCAGTGTGTGAGAGGGTAAATGTGCTTGTCAAATTATCATGGCTGGTGAAAGAACTAAATGAGAATTTTACTAAGACTTGTAGTATAGGAACTTTGGTTGAATCAAAGTATAATTTGTGTTATAGTGTACTTGTGTAAAGTGGTTTGAAGCTGGTGTAGGCTAAGTTCATGTTTGGCAGTTCTACTAAATGATCAGGTGATATTTAATCATATATATATATATTACACACAAATATAATACTCCCATACAAGTTATTACAAAATCACATTATGTTTATTACTTAACTGCTTCAATAATTTGGTTTAGTAATTAATGATGACATTAAATTTAAATCAATGTTTTAACATGTACATAATATTTAAGCAACACTTACTATATGACAAGGGTTTTATCAAGAAAGTATATTAAACAAATATATTAATTTCCCAAAGAATTTTAAAATAACTTGTCTAATACATCTTTCTATCAATTCTTAAATGACAATGAAAAATAATACTAACACACATTAATTAATAATTAAGTATAACTTAAAATTAATGTAAGACTATCCCTTTTTTACCGCATTCTTCACCTAACATATATTATATACAAAAATGAATATTAAACTAATTAAAAATGGTATATTAATATTCATAAAATAAACAAAGTAGTCCCATATTATAACATGACAATCAGCTGAAAACTGTTTTGATATAAATATTGATAGCCAATATCAATAAATCAATGTCGTAAAAATTATAGCAAGTTAAACTGTTGTATATATAATGTTCGGTTCCGGTAGTATATGAGTAATATGGCAGGTTTTTCACAACAGAATTAGGAGCCGTTTGTTATGAGTCACAAAACCAATAGTTATTCTGTTTTCATACAATAATATATAAGAAAAGTTGTAGTGTGTAAATAATGTAATACATAATTTTATTATCGTGTACCGCTGTGATCCCAGTCACCTGTGTATGTTTGCACGCATACCTACCTGCTTTTATCTCCTAACATAAATTTAAAACCTCTCCTTTCACAATATTGAAGATGTCTTTGTCTTTTGCTTAGAAAATTGTGATTTTACAAGGTAATAGTTGTAAAATCCCACAATTGTCATATATGTTATAAGGAAAAGTTAATTTTATGGCTATAATTGAATAAAATTTATTTATTTTGTTGGTAAAATTTTACTTAAAAGATATTTTGTATATTGGATCTATTCATATATAAGGTTTGTATTGAATAAAAATCAAATTCATTTAAACCTATCTAGCATTCTAATGAGTGTTTCTGATCGGAATTACAAAATCTATTTACAGATTTGTATAGCATTTTTCATATTCATGAAGTTACAAATAAGATGATGCTAAACAACTTTGCATCTGCCGGTCATGTATACATCTCATGTAACAAAGAATTCTGAATTAGTATAGACATAGAAATAAATTAATATCATTAAAATATATACAACAAGTATATGTTTATACTAGAGTAAGAAAATGAAAGTGTCACTACCTAGAAATGGAAAAGTTGGCAGAAATCCATAAAAATTAAAACTTATTATAAAGTATATCTCTTACTTCTGATTCAAACAAATTAAGATATTTTCAAAAGTTTTCTTGAAATACTATAGTTAAAAATATTATAGTTTTTCTTGTACTTAACCAAAACTTGTGTAATTGATTGAAGTTATAAAAACTAAATTACTTTTAACCGAAATTACAGTTTATATTTATGTGGGTCAGGTGAGTTTTTTTAAAATGAAAACATTAATTTATTAAGAAAATATATTTTGATATATGTTTAAATATTATCAAAAGTATGTTAAATAGCAACTAAATTAATTTACAGATAATCTTGCATCTTACAAGTGAATGTTCATTTTATTGACATTATGAAATTCAATTTTAATTGACGGTTTGGTCAATCTTGACAGTTGTGAATCAAGTACCAATAAAATGGTGATATTGAAGTAGCTTAATAAATTTGTCAATATTATGATGATCAATCTTATATATAAAATTCTCGTGTCGCACTGTTATACAGAGAACAGCTCCGAAACGGCTGGACCAATTTTGATGAAATTTTGTTATCATATAGTAGGTCTGAAAATCAGCCAACATCTATTTTCCATACCCCAAAGTCATTAGTGTTGTTCATTCTTAATTATTATTTTTTAATATGCAAAACAACATTTGCTGGGTCAGCTATTAATATATATTAATTGAATAATTTTATACTGGATGTTTTGTTTACTAATAATAATCCATTGTTACCCGTTTGTGTTAATAACTTTTAACCCGTTTTGTAACAACTTTTAACTGTCTTTACCTCAACTTTCAATGACCCATATTAACCTATCTGAATATGTGATTTCACACGCTATTTGTTACTTGCCTATTTTTACATATTTGCTATTTCTTATGCTTATATTTTAAAAATTATTTAACCATTTTCATATGTAATGTCTGCAAAAAGAAATCTAAATGGATAAATTCTGTATACAGGGTGACTGGTGAATTACTATCAATATTTAAGGAGCATACTCGGTACATGATTCTCATTCGAATTATGTAAAAAAAATAGGTACTTAATTTTTGACCAAATTTCCGTAAAAATAAATAAAGTGGGTACACGTTCCAAGTATTCCAAGTGTGGACGCGTGCGGCGGCGTGCTGATACAACACTACGCCGCCGCCGCGTCTGTGTGTGTGTGTGTGTACCTAATCTGTAGGGTGTTCATACGATGCGTAATTAATTACATAACTTTTGGTTAACTTTACTTAGAAGTTTATTAATATTTATGTTATATGTATTAATTTTTATTTTGTCATATATGATCGTCTTTATCACGTCCTCAAATATCGAAAGTAATTCACCAGTCACCCTGTATAATTTATTTAATTTAAATCCTACAAGAATTATATATGAAGAAATGTGTTTGTATGATATGTATTGATGTTTGTTGCTCTTTTACACCAAAAATACTTAAATGATTTTGACCAAAGTTTACAATAAGGTAGCTTAGGCATCAGAATAAGATGTAGAATCAAATTTATTCAGAAATTCCATGTAATTTTGCAGGATAGTAGTTGTCTATGAAGTCATATGACACTATGTGTGTCACTGATGGTTAGTTAACATATAGTGTATTTTTAACTTCATACATATCTCTGCCAATTCCGAGGCCATACAGAAGAAGTTACAGGCAAAAACTAATCCCTACCATACCTACTAATATATTAAATGCGAAAGTTACTCTGTCTGTCTGCCTGTTACGCTTTCATGCCTAAACCACTGAACTGATTTTAATGAAATTTGGTACAGATATAGAATTGACCTCGAGAAAGAACATAAGATAGTTTTTATCCCAGACTTTTTAAAGGTTCTCTTGGAAACGCTTTATAACCGAACTCCACGCGGGCGAAGCTGCGGTCGGAAAGCTAGTTATATATAAAATGTAATGTATATAGTAATTTTTATTTGACTTATCATGCCTTGCGCTGAACCTAAGACCTCTCTCAAGGTTTCAAGCGTACTTGAGATTTGATCTCACACTTAGCACAAATACCTGGTTGTAATCTTATTTATAAAGACCCTTTTATTATAAAGAATATTTACTATGGTGTATTTAAAAAATTATTTTTCATATTAAATAAATAAGTATTTAGTCTAGTCTAGGATTTTCTTTGTTATAACTTAGAGTTTATAATTCCAATACTAACTTCTTTATTCATTATTTTAGTTATAAATGCTACTTACAAGGAACCAATCTTTCACATATATGTATAAGGATAGTCAAAATTAATTACCATTTAATTTAATATTTTCTTTTAGTTATATATACATAGACATACTATATACTATATATATACTGTTTTTATGTATTACATAAGGATGAAAGTAAAATAAAACTGGTTTTAGATTTATTATATCTAATTAAATTAATAATGTACTTAAATATGTAATATATTTTTCTAGTACATTAGTTATAAAGTGTATAAAATTTTGTGTTAGCCATATTCTATGTATTTTATGATGTTAGACTAACTCAATAGTTTCATATAAAAGATCTTAAATATACCCATTACCCATGTTACCCATACCCATACCCATTAATAAAAACATACCCATGTAAAAGTATAGGTTGAGTTAATGCCGTTTTTAATAATCTTAAGAAAAATAATTTGTGTATGTTTATTCACAATAACTTGTATTGAATTAAATAATCAATATGTCTCCATTATAGTTCTCATTCTAGTCCAAAGATAACTAAAATTTGTGATTTTTCTAGGTTAGTGTTAAAATATTTTAAGTCGTATTACAACATATCGCAAGTTATTTAATATTTTCATACTGTAGAAACAATGAAATGAGCAAAAAAATGTTTATCAGGCGAACTTATTAAAATTATCAATATCCTGTCTTCATGCGAAAAAAATCACGAAGAAATTATCATTGGTATTTGATATGTACTTTTTCGTAAACGTTAGTTTAAATTTACACTTCTATTAGTTACGTATTATATCATATAAATAATAAATATCAGTTATTTTATACTACACTAGCTTTCCGCCCGCAGCTTCGCCCGCGTGGAGTTCGTTTATATCGCGTTTCCAAGAGAACCTTTCAAAAGTTTGGGATAAAAACTATCCTATGTTCTTTCTCAAGGTCAACTCTATCTCTGTACCAAATTTCATTAAAATCAGTTCAGTGTTTTAGACCTGAAAGCGTAACAGATAGACAGACAGAGTTACTTTCGCATTTATAATATTAGTAGGGATAAAATGCAGTTAAAATTTAATCACCGTTTCGTTAGCAGTTAAATATATATATATTTGTTGTTGTACAAACGTTTTGCGAATCTGTAATGTGCAAAAGTCATGTTCTCGGTAACGTGGGGCCGATACGACGCTGTTATCACGCAGAAGTGGGTCGTTGTACTTGATCCAGCTCGCATGCATGCATGCAGGGCCGTGCTAACTGGCTCAGCCATGCATGCGACGGATTTGATAGGATTCTGTGATTATACTATCTGGTAAAATTGTTTTTGTGTTGATATACGAAGGAATTAATCTATAATATCACTTATAAAAGAAAATTAAAACTATACTGTTTCGATATTAGTCTGAACAAACAGGCAGTTATTAAAATTAAGTACAAAATGTATGTAGTTAAAGAATAATAGTTTTATAGGTATATTAATATTAAGCGTAGATAAATAATCTCAAAATATTTATTGAGGAACTATTAAATATATTTTTTCTTTTTTATATCTCGAAAGTATCAGACAGATCTTATATATAAATCGGATTTTTATTTAATAGAAATAATAATAGAATCGAAGCTGTAAAAATCAATTAATCATTAAAATTATAAACCTTCTTTGTACATATATCAGTTAAAACAACGCATTATTTCATTTCAAGTATAATTTGAAAGACAATGTCTTCTAAAAAGCTGTACGCGTCTTGAGGATGTTTATTTTTATGTCGGATTTTATATAAAAAAGAAATACATGCATTTTTTTTTACCCCGACATGGGAACACCGACGCGTCGGGCGCGCGTATTAAATACATAATTAGGTAGATAATTGCACGCTTCGTCACTGCTTGTGAGGCTCACACATACACACACACACACATACACACACATGTATATATTATACATACCAATATAATAGACACACACACATACAAAAAACACGCCCACATGCAAACGTTACAATTGATAAATTGTGACACACGAACATTATATGAAAAGTAGGTACATAGTTTTATTTTAAATAATGTTTCTTTTACCATACACATACATGTTATTTTATTTTCGTTCTTTCATTCTATAAACCTGTACCTATAAGTTACGAATTCGGCAATATTCTTCGGCTACTGTATTCTTTTTTTGAAATATAATAAAGCCGTTGTTCGAAATATGAAAAAAGAAAACAACAAATAGATATATGTTTATTATTTAAAATTGGAAGAACATATGAAATATAAACTCATCGACTCATAGCATGCAATTAAAGAGTTTTCTTTCGATTAAATTCATCTCATATAAAAACTTTTTGCATTTTTTATATCATGTTTAGAATGTTTTAATTGCAGATAATTTTAAAGATGTGAATCTCTTGCAATAAAAACGTTTATAATTCAATTTAACGTCGCATTTTATGCATTAAATTAAAAATCAATTCGTCTACAACAAATCGCTGGTGTATTAAATATATTTTTTTTAATTATTCACGTACAGAGAGCGTTCAATGGGAATTTTAAATTTTTAAAATTAACTCACAAAGCATAGAAAACCCGAATAAAACGTTAATTTAACGTCGGGAGTTTATAAAGCGCCACGCACGAGTGACGCAATAAAAAAGCAATAGCCGAAGAAAAACAAAAGTAAAACAATTAACCAGACGAGACCTTGGAAAAAATCCTGGCGTATAATTCATAAACGGTCATTAACTTTAAACTTGTTCTCTTGAGATGGATCGATGGTGGCGACCTCTCGGGGACTCCGCCTCGGCCTCCGGCGCCCTCTGGCGGCCCCTTGCGGCGGCTGGCGGCCTCTGCTCGGTTCAGTTATCATTTGCATTATTTCATAATTGCCAACGGATAATGAGCGCTCGTTAGCCGAGTAATTGCTAGATATACACGAAGGTCTTTTCGTTACATTGATTTTTGTAATGACTTCAAATTAAACACCTTGGATTGGGAAACTGATGTTTTATCTAAAGCTGGTTCTAGCACTGGCTGGTTTAATTAAAAATAAAAATATATATTATATTATTGTGTGATGAAAATATTCTAAATTTAAAAATAGGTAATATTTTATCCTAGCACTGGCTTAATTAAAAAAAAAAGAAAAAAGTATTACGTAATGAAAATATTAATCATTATTATTATTATTATCATCGTGTGACAGAATTCTAAATTCAAAAAAGGAGAAGGTAAATATTGATACGATAATAAAAAATATACAAAAAGATAATACAACACTTATATGTACATATAATGAATATGTTTAAATAAAACTAATTGATATTGATACTCAGTTTTTTGCGGGACCACGTATATGGGAAGGACATCTTAATTGAATAATGTCATCGTACGTTCAATATAAAACTCATTGTTCATAGACACGACCTAACACACTAATTACGATTTATGAGATGCAGTAATTACAAATACACACCGGTGTTAAGAACATTAATATATGATTAATATGATAATGGCTGGAGAGAAAAAAAGAAAAAAAAAAGCAAACGCCCATACATAGATATTTCAAATATAGAACGCCGTTGGAAAATAAGTCAGCTGAGGAAGTCGATTAATGTCTTTCAATCCATAATTCATGTCCTTAAGGAAGAAATTTTCAAATAATGGCCATTGTTTCTTTTATTTATTTAATTATAGCGATGCAAACTTGACCTGTACTATTAATTTTTATTGTTTTCACAAAAAACTAAACTGATTATACAATAAGTAATATATGTATACGCCATCGATATGTCGCCGTTCGCATAACATTACACATTTGTATTTGTTTACATTTTACCGGCCTCGTTATAATACGGCGAGTTCTGAATGGATCTTATTCGGTCGTTACACGTTAATTTTATAGCTACTTGCACTCCTCACTGTGTCATTGTGAGAATTATATTATATTTAAATTAATGTCTTATACAATCTGTGAGATTATATTCACGTATTAATTTGTATTATGTGTTCTTTTTTTAAATCGCTTTCACTAAAGAAGGTTTCATTCATGAAGTACGTATGTTTGTGTATTATGTTTGTTATACATTTATAGCTGTTATCAAATCAGATGTATATTTGTGTTAGAGCCAGCCGTGTCGCGACCGCGCTCCGCAATTGTTTATTGCCTGATTTAAATCGACTTGTTGCTTACAACGCTTTTGCTCGGTGGGCTTTTATAAATTATGACTTTTCAGTTTTTATTCCTCCCCCCCTCCCCCTTCAATTTGTTTTGTTTCTCGTGTTGACGAGTTTTGAATATTTATACACGATGTTTGTGTTTTTTGTACGTTCGTTTATGTTCCTTTTGCTTTATTCGTATTATTATTATTATTTTGTTATTTAACGTCGTTAGAATGGCGTTTATTCTTGTTTATTTCGTTTTGTGCATGAGTTTTTTATTAATTTAAACGTCTTTTTTTGTTGTTGTACTCGTAAAATCGTACGTTACATTTGGCTACATATATTATATGCGGTATACATATTGCAGTAACAAAGCACTCCCTTTCTCCCCGGTGCAGAGGCGCATCCCCCCTCCCCCTCCCTCCCCATCCCGCAAATACCCACACGAGCTACGTAGATACTATATATGTATGTATGTACGTAAGGTTCAAACACCGAAATCGAACCGCATCGCAAAATTTCGCATCGACTTTGTCCAAGCCACTAGAACCTTCTACACTCGAGACCCTCGTCGCCTTGTTGGTTATTATTTTTTTATAATAAATATATATATATTTTTTTGTTATTATATTCGTATATTAATTGATATATTCGTCGAACAATAAAGATTTCTACGTAAAGTCCTCTCGTTGTATGAATTGTATGCATCGATGCCAATTAGATGGAATTTTTTGTTTTTTGATAACATCTTATACATTTTATTCGTTGGTTTTTTTTTGTATAAATTTGTTTGGGAATACGGCGAATATTGCTTGTGGGTTGTATTCAGATTGTAAAGGCTCTTTCTATAGTTTTGTCAAGTTAAATTTAAGTTTATTTTCGTTCAACGATATAAGAAACATTATATATAAAGATTGCTCATATAAACTCAAAAGTATATTTTTATTTATTAGTCACTAGTGGCTAAGTGGTTAAAGGACGAGAGGAAAACATCGTGAGGAAACCTGGACTTATAGTTTCACAATTAGGTATAAGTTTGAAATCACCAACCCGTCTTGAGCAAGTGTGGTAATTAATGCTCAAACCTTCTCCATGTGAGAAGAGGTCTTTGCCCAGCAGTGGCTCTGATAGGCTGATGACGAATATATAATAGATATTTATATGAAAATTTTACCAACCAATTTTATATATTTTTGTATGTAAAATGCGTTTGAATATTTCTTTGTGCACCAGCAATATCTATTTGACCTCTAACCGTCAAGGGCGAACCGGTATCGTCAAATTTAGGTTACTGGCTCTCTAGATGCGAATGGTGTTAGATTTGTAATATATTTTGTATTACTATACAGTTAAATTTAACTTTAAATATAACTGTTGACAGTACTAAAGTATTCCACAATACCTGTGTGAGTGAAGACAGGATAAAATTCACTATGCTAATATGACGTCATAATGTTAATATAAATATTTTATTGAAGAAAAAAAACGAGGTTTTTGTACCCTACAAGATCCTGGTGTTAAACATATTAGAAATCTTAAAACTCGTTCTTCGCCCACGAAATAGTGCTAGATTTTTTTCTCATATGATTTCTCTATAGTTCCCTTGCATATAAAATACTAACCGTACATCAAGTTTGTTGACTTAAAATATTCCACAAATTATTATTATATTATATTAAAAAAAACCTAATAAATCTATGGAATAGAACCTGTAGATTCTAGTTTTTTAGTATATTTTGGTACCTATCTGCATAAATGTCTGGCTTATAGAATATACAGGGTGACTGGTGAATTACTATCGATATTTGAGGACGTGATATTTGACGATCATATATGACAAAATAAAAATTATTTGGTCAAAAATTAAGTACCTATTTTTTTTACACAATTCGAATGAGAATCATGTACCGAGTATGCTCCTTAAATATTGATAGTAATTCACCAGTCACCCTGTATATTAATAGCTAATGTACTTTTATGTTATCTGAGCGTCTGGTGATGGAAACTGTAAACGTGTGACCCTCGAGCCTGGTTTTGCACATCGTGGTGTTGTATCGACCTTGTCGATCGAGTTTCTGTATTGATGTTGTGCAATTAACTAAGCACAGTCAGGTTGGTTTACGCTGTTTAACTCATGATCTAAGTCTCGCCGTCTTGCGTAACCGTGTGTCAGACTAGCATTTGGTTTGAATATCCGCTGTTGGCTCAGATATTTGAATTTACATATCTATTGTGTGTATAGTGAGGAATGAACTCGCTTGTGGGCAGGTGATGTCCTGTAGAGCTTGATATATTCTTATATACACTTCAAGAAAGAACAGCTATTGGTATATACTAGTTTTAACATGCGATTCTGTCCGCGTGAACGTCAGAGATTATAGAGAAATGTGTATAAAGTATGTTTAAACAATCCACATAGCAACTTACGTTGCAGCCTTTTCGTTTCATATAACGTAGATACCGACTGCAGCGCCATCTGCCGGTACGATTTATGTGTCCAAACCATCTGGGGCTTCACCGGAATGCATACAATTACGCTCAAATTGGTCTAGCAGTTTAGAAGTTCAATGAAATTACATTCGTATAGTAAAATTATAATATATCATATGATATTATATACTTCATCATCATCATCATCAGTCTTTCATAGTACTAACCCTTACACTCCACAAGGCTCCACTGTCAGTCCTCCAATATGTCCCTTTTAATTAGTGAAATCTTTTCAATCAATCAATTTATGTACGAGTAAACAGTATGTCACGTCAAATTAAGCAAAAACATCATGAATATTTTTTTGCAAATGAATGACAGTTACCCTAAATGAAATACGTTTAATTAAGTGTACATAAATATATTATAAAAAATATATTTTTATTTAAATGATGTAAATTGATCTGTTTATTGCTTTCATTTAAAATGAAACCAAATATAAGTACATAATTTATTATATATTAAAAACTTCGCTTAAAAAATACCGTCGTCGTCATCAGCCTATCGGAGCCCACTGCTGAGCAAAGGCCTCTTCTCACATGGAGAAGGTTTGAGCATTAATAATCACGCTAATTCAAGACAGGTTGGTGATTTTAAACTTATAATTGTGAAACTATAAGTGTAGGTTTCTTCTCGTACACGAGAGAAGGTCCTTTAACCACTAGGTCACCACTGACTAATAAATAAAAATATACCACCTTCGTAATTGCGTAAATATTTAATTCTTATCAGACATTTGCCCGTTTATTGAAACGTTATCACTACATCAGGTTTATCTATAAATTTTATATCTCTTCAAAATCAGTTCAATACTTTTGACGCGAAAATGTAACAAACATGCATATATTCGTCAATTTCATATATGTATATAATGAGGAGGAAAATATTCTGTCTGTTTCTACATTGGATAAAAAAAGCACTAATGCTAGGAAGAAATAATTTATTCAAAACTACAAGAGTGTAGTGTCAGTAGTTCGGATATTTCAGATGTAGACTTTCAATTTGCCGGTCCGTGGATACGATAGTTGGTATCCATTGTGACAAATGTCTGTGTCCATTGTTCGAACCTCGATGGAATCCTTCGTCTGACCTTGGAGTAACACCAATCGTGTGACTATTACTCTGGCTGGTCTTATACTTGTATATTTCAATACATATAAGTTTTTATAGGTATTGAATAGGAAATTATAGGTGCTTGTGATGTAATTTAACGCAAATTTATGTCCAATTTGCAGAGCTAATATGGCTTCCTAACCATCCATCTCAAAAGACTTGCTCAAATAGGATGTTCCATTCACCAGATAACGGCTAGTCCGGTTATGATAAAACAGTTTATGGATATAATTAAGTTAGTATTAAAAGAGAAGTCGACATTAATTAAATTCAGTCCTATAATAACAAGGCATTATCATGCAAAAGGAAAATCTAATGATTAAGACATTTTTCTGTACATTTACCTGATATAGCTTAGGGTTGGCCCAGTTATCGGTTTTTGATTATTTTATCCGATAATTAACGTTTCTTTTCCAATCCTACTTAATGCCCAACTGACATTTTTTAGGTACAGCTTTTATCGCAATTAGAGCTGTTAAATTTCTTCATGTATGCTCGATACTTAAAAACAGTTGGTACTATGAAAATTATGATCTAAAGTGAATGACCCATAAATATTCTGACATTTATAATTAAAGTTGTATTAATCTCTCTAATTTCTCAACGATAACTGTTATTAGGTTTAAATAACGGAATATATCATTACTAGCATTAGTTTATACTTATATGATGAACTGACTTGGCAGATGATCCTGCAAAAATTATGCTGAATTATGAATATATATATTTATTATTAACTTTTACATTGTTAATCCTAAATCTTAAGGATTATGTTCACATACAGAAAACATAGACGACATTAACGAAATTAGCTCTCAATGTGTAATACATATATATTGCAAGGTTTACATATATGTATAAAGTCTTGTGATACTATACAGAAAATTTATTGATATATTTTTAACCGAAAATGTAGATTTTCTTCAGTTCAAGTCATGAAGTGTTTTGAGTTTTAAAAAATATTACGGAAACCCTTTTTTTAGAGTCCATGAATTAATAATTTATGTAACTTTTTGAAAGAAAAGAGTATTCGACTTGCTGTGAATGCGTTTCCAAACTTTGCACCTCCTTTATTTACTAATTTTTAACTCGACGTCGAGTATTTTACATGTTTTATTTTCGTCCCAAAACGGTCACAATAGACTACACCGAAATACGTATTTAATATATTAGAGATTGTGTGAAAGTATTGTCAGTTGTAGGAGAGTTTTTGTGATTCTCATTTGTGAAGACCGAAGATAGAAGTATGTACATTTAAATGTGAGTAAAGATCTTGTTAGATGAGAAGTTAGTAGAGAATTCAAACCAAAAGAAGATGTTCCATAAGAAAAGGTCTTGGATGATAGAGTGAGAGATTTACAAAGGTATATAGAAACAACTTCATAAAATTTGAGATCACGACTAATGGCTCCATAAAACCATTATAATGTCGTTTTGATATTTAGTTTGGTTTAATACCCTTTATCGTATCTACCAATCGTTGTCATAAGGAATTATGTTGTTATGTCTAGTAAAGTACATAATGGGTAGTTGAGAGGAAACTTCTCAGCATTCCATGAATTCACCGTGCGGATCCCGGCATCCGTTGCAGGGAGAGGAGCTTCAACACTGCCTGGGACTTGCGACCCAGACATTTTATATTGTTTCTCATACGTATCCATTATAGACCAATCAGGAGCCTCTTTATGCATATAGTAAATCTTAATGTTTGATTTTGTAGCCCCCCTATTTTCTATTACAAAACCGTATTAGTGATCGCTCGTTTGTAGTTGATTCTTTTGGCGCTCTGGCTACCAAAAGATTAACAGCTTCACGTATGATTTATAGAACCCTATCGTGAAGACAAGAGTATTGACCGCTATTCAGGATTACCTTAAGTTCCCACTAGCAAATGCTTAGCTGTTCCAACTCCCTTCGGGCAAATTTAGCAAGAATTTTCAGCAACTTTAACCCATCCTACTAAGTTGAAACAGATCGACATGAATTTTAGTAGTGACCATTAATAAAACAAGATTTCCTTACAAAATACAAAATAATTTATTAAGCAGGTGTATTATTTGGGGGCGTATAGTGTAAACAGAAAGAAACGAGCTTCAATAGTTCAATAATTTTTATATTAAGATAATCATGAATGAATATTGAAGCGGTTATAAAAACTATAGTTCTATGACCGCGATTATTTCTTATCTGTATAGAGTTAAATCCCAGTAACTGTATGAGCGATGTTTTCGCGTTTCGAATAACAAACTTAACTTTTGATCGGAATCAATATATAGCGGGGGTTCATTAAACCTTTGACCATTTATAATTTTTGAGGCGTTTTTTGTGTCTGTTTGGTTGGCTTAAAATGTATCGGTAATTCATATAATTATTTTATGTTTATAAAATAAATAACTGTGCAATATATATATAATAGTACAACCTGTATAAGCGTAGCTGGCAAGCAGCCGAGTGTCGGCATCCTACTCCTCCATAGGTCAGGTCAAGGGCGAGATTGAAACATCTATACAAACACCACTCGCTTTTTAACACACATTTATATATGTATATGTTAGATCTTATTTTATCTCTCATTAATACTCTTAGATTCTTAAACTCATGGATTTGACTTCGAAATTCAATTCAAATTTCAAACTTCTTCATCTTGTATGAATGCGTGTGTTTTTATGGTTGAAAAAAATAAGGAATTGGGTCAGTGTTTGTCGTTATTGGCTATGCCTTATCTAAGACGGTTGAAAATAATTGAAATAGCCTAATCCTTATCAGTACTTCTGTGCAGATTCCTCTTGTTAATTATATGTAGTTTTGAACTATTCGGCTTGTAAAATCAACTGATCTATGGTTGGATATAGGAACATAAATTTTCTGAATCAAAAATCATTTGTTTGCTATTATCAGTGCAAGATCCTTGAAGATCTACTATAGGTAGTCACTTCGTATTTATATGATAACTAATGTAAAGTCTTAACCTTCTGAAATATTGAAAAACATGGATTATAAGTTAATATGAATTTTACTTAAACTCTTAATTTTATTAAGCTTTATTTATAAAGAGTAATTCTAAAGTAAAATAGAAAGAAAAATCGACTTTTTAAAGATGATTCTCATTCTTATATAACATCTAGTCGGAATGTTTAAAACAATAGTAGGAGCTAGTCACGCAGTATCCATCTTTAGTATGACGTGTTTCTTGACAAGTTTTCCGCTTAGTTACTTCAAAACCATCATTTACAACGCAGACATTACATCCAGCTAGCTAACTTGTTGAAAATTACACTACACGTAATTTAACAAACAGATCTATCCTGTGATAAATCTTGTGATTTATTCACGTTTATAATTAAAACTATAGATGATGCAGAAAATTCTAACCCATAATAATATTTCCTCTTAGCTATTATGTTGTACGATTTAAGTACGATCGAAATATTTTCCTTATATAGTAATTAACTATAGTTTGTTTTGAAAGTTGTGGATATGTCTAACGTATTCTATATACGCAGTAGATATATGTATGTATATTTTGGTTTATGTACTGTCGCTAAAGGTCACGGGAGAGCTGCATACGTTGAAATGGCAAACGTTTCGCATTGTCTAAGTCTTTTGTTCGTTGTTTCTTTCCGACGAGACAGGTGACTAATCACCTGCATTCACGTCACTCGTTATCTTTAAATCTGAATATTTACTAAAGTTTTTTACTATTCAAGTATAGGGACCTTTATTTTTTTTGTTTTGAACATAAAAACAGTATAAATTTGATAGCCCTTTGATTTGATTATATTATAAGCATCGAAATGTTCTTATTATATTAATACAATAATTAACGTTGTATTTTTTATTCAAACTGTCTCTTTGTTGGACATGTTTGGACGAAATACATCTGGCTGGGTTGATGGTGAAAATTTAATATTCTTCTTAAATTTTGGCAAGAGATTCAAGGTATTGCACAACTAGGTAAACACAGCTATATATTATATATGTACATATATTTTTTGCTATTGAAAATTCTTAAAATATTGTCTTTTTTGCAGCATATTACATACAGTATAAGAGATACAATGTTTATTTAAACTCTTTAATATTGGTATTAAATGTAATTAAATATATCTTACTGTTTCGACGAAAACATTCACCGGCTTTCACTTAAATACATTACATCGGATATCAATATTAATTATGTTAATATTGACGAGTTTAAAACATTAATTCGAGTCACTCGCTGGCGTAGGAACCGCAAAATAAGCGAGACATTGGTAACCGAACGCACCTGTGCATTGAGTTGACGTCACCGCAAATAAAACCGATGGCTGGTAGAAAATAACAACGGAGTCACTACGGCTAACAAGCGGACCTGACGACCACACCGTTAATGACGTGATATTATAATGAGCATTACAATATTATTAATGTGTCGAATTAAATAGACGAGCATTATTATTAGTCTTGTTTCATTTCAATTTTCAACCTACTCGTTATACCTTTTGAGTGTTATACCGTAGGTTTTGAACGGTATATTTATTATTATTTGTGTCCAGGGAGGAGGGCGAGGAGAAGCCGAAGGCGGCGGAGAGTCAGGACGATGGGTACGAGACGAGCAACAGCGGCGAGGCGGCGCGAAGGAAACCCTCGAGCGCGGAGGGGTCACCCGCGCCGCCTCCGCCCCGCTCGCCGCCCCCCGACGTCGAGCCCGACCACGAGCCCGAGCCTGAGCCCGAGCCCGAGCACGAGCACGAGCACGAACACGAGCACGAGCACGAACATGAAACAGCATACGAGCCGCTCCTACAGCGACCCTTCCCATCCCAATACAGACACTTCGAGCCTCCACCGGCTCATCCCCAGCAACACCAGCCGCCGCCGGCTCACGACCCTGAGCCGTACCAACACTTCCACTTCCCCAAATACCCTCAGGATCCGTATCCCTTCAAACGGGAGGCGGACGCGCCTTACGACATGACGCAGCACCACCAACACCCGCACCAGCAAATACATCACAACCAATACGCTAAGAGAGACGACGAGTTATATAACGGTGTGAAACGGGAGTGCGAGGACCCGTACTCGTTTGTGGAGGAGGAGGCGATGTGCGCGATGCTCGGCCAGCAGCACCACTTACAGCACCTGCAGCACCACGAGCAGCACCATCACCAGCACATGCAGATGCACCCGCAGCAGATGATGCTCAACCAGCCCAAGAAACGGGGGCGTAAGAAGAAAATAAAGGATGAAAACGGGTGAGTTATACATATACCTTTCATATTAGAAGACTTTAGGTTTAAAGAAATTTATTCTCATTACAACAACGTCATTTATATGAGAACTTATAACTAATGAATATAACAATTCGTTCGGATCAGCAAAACAAATGAGATAACAGTTTCAATTAATTATTTTAACAGACAATCGTTACACAAAATATGGTTATAAAGTCGAGATTTAAACATAGAAAAATTTGTTAGAGATTTTACTTGTTTAGGTAAATTGTTATGAAGTTTTGCTCCCTCAAAAATAATCATCTTTAGATACTTAGAACTTTAAATATAATGAGATCTAAGATTTTCGCTACATAGTCCTATTCATTTAAATGAAACTAATATTTTTTGGATGTACTACAAAAGAATATTTGAAGCCACCCGTAGTTAAGCGACAACCTGCAATACTACCATATGTGTAGTTACTGACAGAATAGGCAACATCTTGAAGAAGGTTTCAAGACTTTACAAACCACACAAGAAAGTGATCCAATTCTTGATACCGATCAGAAACTGACTGACACTCACATCTCGTCTGCCCGTGATCACGGTTGCTGTAAAGTAACCGAAACGTCGGGAGTATGTAGTTTATAATCAAAAATAAAATCGCGTAGTACATCCGAAAAATATTAGTTTCATTTAGATTTTAAACATATAAGCATAATACAGTCTTCCATATAGCTCGGGATATTTGGTTTAAGAAAGGAAAAGAAAGGAATATAAACCCTCTAGAACTTATTAAGTATATCTAAAATTAGTTAACCATATTAAGTTGAACCATCACTAAAACATAATATATCAAATATTTAGTACATATTAAGTAATTAACTGTTAGTCCCAACTAGACGTGAAGATAAACCAGTTAGAAGCAAGAGTATTGCGTGTTTTGATAACGATAGTGTGATTCAAACCATGCACAGAATGATGGTTTAAAATCTACACGAACACATTTGGATGGCAGAACGTATACAATACGTTTGTTCAAATGCTATTTATGAATTTATATTTGGAAAGTATATAGACATGGTTTTGGTTTGTATAACTGTGCCAAGTATACGCACTATAAATCTTTAGTCAGTGGTGGCCTAGTGGTTAAAAGGCCCGCATGCACGAGGGCGTGGGTTCGATCCTGGCCCTGGCAAGTATCAATGTGATTTTTCCGAGTCATATGTACTCTCTAAGAGTATTTAGACGTCACTGATTAATGCATTCCCAAAGAGGGTTGATGTCAGGCAGGCGGCCGGTAGTAAGAAACAATTAGCCAAAACTATTCACAACATGTAAGGCAGATCCTGGCTAAAGCTGGGAAATTGCCTGGTATTTGTAGAATTGTATTATATATATATATATATATATATTTTTTTATATAAAATTTTCGATTCCTAGAATCTCGTTTCATGTTTGTTTTAAATGCATCGGTTCGTCTCGCTCGCTGGTAACACGGGTACAGAATTTTAATACAACATAAAGCTCGGTTTATCTTTCTTTAAACTTTATATTTATTGTATTCTCATAGTTCACTCTAATATCTTTTATTTAGTATAGCAATTAATAAGATATAACAAACTTCATTCAAATTTATTCTCAATTAATATTATTATCAAATATTTGTACTGTAGTTCAGTAATAAATCATTTATCATATTAACAGTACAAGCATTAATAAAGTTTAAAGCTCGATGTATATAACGTAGAGTAAACTGCCTGCGAGGAACGTTTCTTGTAGGCGTCGGGCGGTGACCCCTGTACGGATTTAGTTAACCCACATCTACCATGCGGAACCCTTGTCTATAGGACTCTCCCTAAATCTTATAATACATTCCGTTAAAACAAAATCTATACAGATTTCTTTGAGATTATATGCGTTACATCCTCAATACTATACTATGATTATAATCATATATTCTATGAGCATTCAAACTAATATTATAAATGCGAAAGTAACTCTGTCTGTCTGTCTGTTACGCTTTGACGCCTAAACCACTGAACTGATTTTAATGAAATTTGGTACAGAGATAAAGTTGACTTTGAGAAAGAACATAGGATAGTTTTTATCCCAGACTTTTGAAAGGTTCTCTTAGAAACGTGATAACCGAACTCCACGCGGGCGAAGCTGCGGTCGGAAAGCTAGTTATATATAGATATATAAAATAATATTTTTTAGTAATAAATAATCCATTCCTAATCTTTATTATATCTGTTATGTGATTTAAATGAAAATTAAATTCATTTATTTTAAGTCGTAATATTTCTGGATTACATAATGTGTATTTATATCTTAATACCTTAGTCCATCTATTAATAGATTTAAAATTCGTTAATCTTTGATAAATTATAATTTAATGTACAAATGAAGTTATTGAAATATTATTATCATATAAAAATTATACGATGAATTTGATGAATTGTATAGTGATGATAAGATCTCATAGGTATTACTATGAGATCTTTGAGTATTCATAGACAGTTATAGTGGAAGTGTATTGTTGAACTGGCTTCTAAGCATGTCATATGTGATGTATGGACTATGGTGCATCAGACTCGTTAGTAAGACAGAAATATACCATTGGCTGAACGTCGTTAGAGTATTGTGGGCTGTGGCTTAGATAATAATTTCTTTAAATCTTTATTTTGTATGAAAATAACCGTATTTATGTTACATATATTAGAAATTCATTAAGATTTGAAATTAAATATTTGTACATAATACGTATGATATTGGTGCAGTATATACAAAAAATGTTTTTCAACCACAACTATAGAACTAATTTGACGATAATATATTCAACGAAAAAAACAATGTACCTACCTAGTTAGTGCTTTATAAAAAGTATTAAAGAACGAATTTAAGATAGTTAGATGCGACGTTTTGTAATCAATTAACATATTGAATTAAGCTTAATATATATTTAGTGTATCAATAGGTGATATGATTTGTATAGTAGTCTGAATTGGAACATAATTGTCATTAGATAATGCCGCTATCCGATAGTTGGTTAGTCTGAAGCGAGTCGAACACAAAAGCTATCACAATTCGTATCAGGCGCAATCTATAACAGAATGGTATTCTTGAATAAGACGTCTCAACGTAGTCACGTAGCTTTGGACGCGTGACGTAGAAACGAGAGACATACCCACCGCTGTGAATCGATTTCATGTCTTTGTACCGCCTTTCAAAATAATCTACCAACAAAAGACTTAATGACGCCCTTGAAACTAATACATCCAGCACGTTGACACGCGAAATGTAAAGAACATAGCCAATACAAACGAAACGATCAAAATCTTACATGAAATTATTGTATGTTACTTAATTGGCAATTAGTGTACGAGATTTCGGATGGAACGGCGTATATATGAAGGAAATCGTGGGAGGCGATAACTGGGACTGGTTCCGATATACGAAGGTTGCCAATCATTGCCTTAAACACTAATGAGACAGAACTGACAAAATGATTAAAATTAAGGGTAGTGAAAGGAGTCGGCCGACAAGCGAACGAGTTGCCGCTGAGGATTTGATCTCGCTGTACCAATTAAAATCGAAACAACTATCACACGATTAAACCCAGAAATGGTCGGATATTTCGGACGTGTCGCTCCGTAAAGCTGATGACGGACAACTTGCATCTTTTTCCCCCTCATTTTTTCTGCGACCTCGTTTCCACGCTGTTCAGACAACGCCTAGTAATGCTTCTAATTGATGTCGTCATTAGTCTATTAATGGACAATACGAAAGTCTTTTTTTTTTCTATAATAAAAACAAAACACGCTCACCGATCGTGTAGAGCTGACCGGCCAGCCTCACGATCATGTCTCACGGCGTCTAATTGGAAATTATTGGATGGGATGACGAAAATCCTGACACAAAGTGGCTCCAAGTGATCACGCATTCTCACATAAATAGGCCGAATACAGCCACGTCAGGAGTATAGCAGTTGACCCAGATAACGAATGTCAGAGCTATTTTATCTTCCCCCCCTATAACGTAGATTCTATTATTCAAAAATTAAATTTATATACATTTTTTTCCAAAACGGCCATAATGACATAGTCCTGTTTTATTCTAAGTGGTTTTTATATAATGATAATTTTATGGTGATAGACAAAAGTTGACATATTGTGGAGCGGATAAACAACGTCGCCGCCCGACTCTCAACGCCCGCGAGCTGTTTACGAAGCAAGTATTTCTGTACCGGAACACAATCCGCTAGCCAAAAATTCATGCAAAATAATAAGATCAAGGTGGCAGCATTCGAACGTTATAATGCTTTTCACATTATAATAGTTTTAACCTCAATTATATGCGTTCCGCTACGAGTGCCCGCCTCCGTCATCCGTGTTGACGACAAAAATCTATAAAGACGAACGAACACACCAATCTTACGGTCCGCTGTTTATTTATGAGACATTAAGATTATATCTCACTTTAAAAACCATCTAGAATACTACACAATTATTTAAATTGGTTAAAACAATTAAGATTCACTAAAATTTTATCAAATATATACATGTATATATATTTAGTTCTTATATAACGAATAGATCAGCTAGCCAGCTTTAACAATTAGTATGCAAATGGTCTGCAAACCGTGGCAATAATGTTACCGAGGTCTTCGTATAAAAAATACATATTATCATATTTTGGTATCTCACCGCGTATGTGTGCTGCGAATCGTCGATTCCTTAGCTTATAAATTATTTAAATTTTTATACTTCATGAATATTTATATAACGTGTTGCCAAATGCATTCGAAATTGTCTAAAATAAAGCTAATGTGTTTTAATTTATAAATACTAATACTAAAACGAGGTAAAATGTAGACGAAAAAGTCTTATATTGTACTAGCTTTCCGCCCGCAGCTTCGCCCGTTTGGAGTTCGGTTATATCGCGTTTCCAAGAGAACCTTTCAAAAGTCTGGGATAAAAACTATCCTATGTTCTTTCTAAAGGTCAACTTTATCTCTGTACCAAATTTCATTAAAATCAGTTCAGTGGTTTAGGCGTGAAAACGTAACAGACAGACAGACAGAGTTACTTTCGCATTTATAATATTAGTAGGGATGTGTTTTTTATCTAAATTGTATCCTTTTTTTCAGTGGCCGTTTTACGTCTGGTATAAATGAATTATGATGTATCTCAACGTACGATCTATAAAACTTAAATTAACAATAAAATGTTGTACGATTATTATGATTTGAGTGAGTCAAAATTAAATCACTTGTCATAACATTAATAATATAGCGTTATTGTTATTTACGAGCGACGTTGCACCGTAACGTGATTTTTTTTGTACTAAATCATTCATAAGATATTTTTATGTTTGAACTTTTAATGCTATTTAATTAATATCTTTTGACTTTTATGTGTGATTTTTATTAATTTGATATGGATTTTTATTCTCTGTATAGGTAGGGTGTATGTATAATTTATAGCTTGGCTTCAAATAGGTTTTTTGTTTGGGTATATTTTTTGTTATTCTGATTTTATACTTGTAGGTATGTTTGTTGCTCGTTAACGTAAAAACTACTTACCGGATTTTGATGAAACCTTACAGTATTGTAGCTTAGACGATAGAATAAGACATACGATCAAATTTATACGGGAATTCAGTGTAGTTCCCGTAGTATAACAGTTGTATTATGTATGACATATGTAGATGTCGCTGTGGGTTCGTTATCATATCTATTGCTTCATACGCTTTATACATAACTCTCTGAGCCTAAACTTAAAACTCACGGTCACCAAAGTAGCAGACAAAAACTAGCATAATTATATTGTTAGAAGTATGAATTTTATTAATAGAATTAATTTTAAGTCACTGTATATTAAGTAAATGAAAAGACAGTCGCGAAGACATTCTTATCGATGAGTGGTTGAAGAGATTAATTTTTGTACAAGCGAAGGTAGAGATAATTTTCTGTGCTTTTTAAAGTAACTGTTATATCAAAACTCGAATAGTAAATTTATATAAGCTAGGTATTAAAATTGCAGGCCATATTTTTTGCTTTTTCTCGTAGTACGTACTTGTATGTATACTTTTTAAGAATGATGATTTTTCTTATCAAATGAACGGGATTAAAGCTGATAGAACTTAAAGGACAGATCAATGTTGATGGATGAAGTACTTAACATTCTTTGATAGCAAGATCAGAACGTGATCCAAGAAGAAAATGTAAATTATAAAACATATTTAGATCCTTAGTGCCTTTATTTATAACGCTGGAAGTTATTAAGAATTAACACTGATAAGAAATTTAATTTAGTTACTTTTTTGAGGATAAAGCGATGAAGAGGACCTAAAAATGCGATTTTTTTTTACAGATTCCAATGATAAAGTTTAAAAGGGAACTTTTTTTAGATTTTAGTGTTAGTAACTTAGTTTGTGGTAATATAGTTTGGAATGTTCAAAATTATTGACAAACCAAGCATCTTACGACCAAAAATCAAACAGATATTTAAAGCAAGCAAATTTGAACGAGGAACTTGTAGCTTTTTATCAACGAATTAAAATAATTCTCTAAAGAGATATGCTTTCAGTGTTGATATAAAATTTTCATATAAAATGTTGAATGGTTCATAAGAAAGTTTTGGTTTTGTATTATACGACAAAATAATAAAATAAACAAGATGAAGCAAATAGTTTCTCTTAAATTGCAGGTTGGAACTTAAAGTGGACGGAGTTTTAGACAGCGTGTCGGGTATCGTGCGTCCGGTGAAGGAGCGGAAGAAACATGACCGGTTCAACGGGATGAGTGAGGAGGAGGTGTCGCGACGCACGCTGCCCGACCACCTCGCGGAGAACCTCGACATCATCATTGTGAGTACGATCGATGTGCTTTCTTACACTGGTCATTGTGTAGGCCTCTCGCATAGTACAGCCCGACTACCTAACGGAGTGCTTCAACATCATCATTGTGAGTACGATCGATGTGCTTTCTTACACTGGTCATTGTGTAGGCCTCTCGCATAGTACAGCCCGACTACCTAACGGAGTGCTTCAACATCATCATTGTGAGTACGATCGATGTGCTTTCTTACACTGGTCATTGTGTAGGCCTCTCGCATAGTACAGCCCGACTACCTAACGGAGTGCTTCAACATCATCATTGTGAGTACGATCGATGTGCTTTCTTACACTGGTCATTGTGTAGGCCTCTCGCATAGTACAGCCCGACTACCTAACGGAGTGCTTCAACATCATCATTGTGAGTACGATCGATGTGCTTTCTTACACTGGTCATTGTGTAGGCCTCTCGCATAGTACAGCCCGACTACCTAACGGAGTGCTTCAACATCATCATTGTGAGTACGATCGATGTGCTTTCTTACACTGGTCATTGTGTAGGCCTCTCGCATAGTACAGCCCGACTACCTAACGGAGTGCTTCAACATCATCATTGTGAGTACGATCGATGTGCTTTCTTACACTGGTCATTGTGTAGGCCTCTCGCATAGCACTGCTCGACTACCTAACGGCGGACCTCGACATCATCATTGTGTGTAAGATCATATATGACAATTAAAAAGCTTCATCAAAAGATTGTATAAGAAAAATCCCTATAATATAATCCTTTATGTTTATAATTATGTTATAACTCAGCTGATCATATACCATTCCAATCTACAGATCGGTATAAACCCGGGATTGTTCGCGGCCTACAAGGGTCATCACTACGCTGGTCCCGGGAACCACTTCTGGAAATGTCTCTACCTGTCCGGACTCACCCGGGAACAGATGAGCGCTGATGAGGATTACAAGGTACACAGACAGACATACATACATAGATACATATGTCTTGCAAAAACTCCTACATACATGTTGAGCGATTTGTTTTTGTTTATCCATGTTTATTAAGAAGTGTTGATGCGAAAAAGTTTTTATACGAAAACAGAACAGATTATAAAATTAGTTTTTTTTTTAATTCTATCACAGAGTAGAAGTTTTCTTGTAAATTTTTTTATAACAATAATTAAACCTTGGAATTTCTAACCAAGTAACCATATAGCGAAACAATAGTTTTATCTTAATCTGTGGTAATCGTGCGTGTCTATGAAAGTATTGTTGTATAACATATAGCAATAAAATAGAAGCTATTTACTAGATGTAACTAGCTATATACAATACAGGCAATTAGTTATAAAAAGGTAATTAAATTACATACATACGATGTGGAAACGCCATTAATATCATTATCATTTATTTATTATCATTAATGACAAATAAAATTGACGTAACGAAAAACGCGGGAAAAATCAAGTGAATACAGATTATAGAACTACCAAAAATTAATGATACCTAGATCCGGAGTACAGAGTAAATAACGAGGTGTCGATGTAAAGACGGTATAGTGCGATCTTGACGTGTTGTTTATGTTAACACTGATATAACAGCTAGACTTTCATCGGTGACCTGGATATATAACTAAGAACATGAGTCGGAAAACGTTAGAAAATATACAGCTGTAGGCGTTGATTAAGATTCACCAGCGATTTGTTACTAGTTTTAGCCTACGATTCTGTCCGAACGAGAGAAATTTGTTAAAATAATATGTATAACCTTCGTTGCCGACTTTGTCTCTTAATCTAAATACAGAATTCAGCGCCATCTAACGGGCTGATTTGTTAATTAAAATCATTTCTGGCTCCTCCCAAAAATTCGTCCAAATCAGACTAGCAGTTCTGTTCAGTAAAATATGTACAGTAACAGTCAATAACATATGTACAGTAGTATTGTATTTAAAAATATGCATTAAATAAACTTTGAATTAGCTATGACTTATTTATGTCACGTATCCGATTAAATCATTTTCACAGTTATGCTAACAATTGTATAAGCTCGTCTGAGGAAGAAAAGAATTTATGTATGACGATAAAGTTTAAAACTTGATATTTGCAGAATATTCCACAATTCCAGTGTGAATAAAGCCATAGAATAATAAAAAAAGTTTGAATTTTTTATTTGTTTATGGTTCGTCTTACATGAGCATATGGTTGTATGACATAAATTCGCGTTACAGTCAGCTATAGTTTGTTATATCAATTCCTGCAAAGATGAACCCGATACCCATACAGTGAATCCATTGAATAATGAGATAGTATATATATATTAAAGTTTGTATATATCTGTTAAGATTTCACATAAAATTTTCCTATCACCAGCTTCTAAACTTCGGCATCGGCTTCACGAACATGGTGTCACGTCCTACCAAAGGTTCAGCGGATCTCACGAGGAGGGAGATCAAGGAAGGATCCGCCATTTTGTTGGAGAAGCTCCAGACCTTCCGGCCAAAGGTGGCCGTGTTCAACGGGAAACTCATCTACGAAGTGTTCTCCGGGAAGAAGGACTTCTGTTTCGGGAAACAACCCGACTGTATCGCCGGGACTAACACTGTGAGTACGGTTGGTTCTCAAATACAATAAATAGTAAAAAAACAAAGATATTTATGTTTCCTAACTTATAAACCAGTAATAACTAAAAGTTGTTTAATTTTTTTTGGTACTTCCATGTAATATGTTGTATATTTTATTTGATGGGACAGGATACACTGTTATTGCATATACTTCACTTGAATATCCTTTCACTCCAATTAAACGAAACTAATATTTTCGGATTACTACGCGTTATTTTATTATTATTATGTAAATTCTCATCTCGTCATTGTGATCACGATTTCTGCAAAGTAACCGACAGGACGAGAGTATGTAGTTTAAAATAATAAAACAACGATTGTACACCCGAAAAAATTAGTTTCATTTAAGTCAGGGCTATCAAATTATTGCGGTCCGTAGAGTCTATTTTTGTCTTCTTTGTATGTATTCTTAAATACATTAATAAGCAAATAGTGTTAATAATAATTATATTACCAGTATTTTTAAAATATTTTACGACCAATGTATTTATTTATTTTTATTCCCATTAAGTTTGGGCTCCCCTACCCTAAATGTATGAAATACAAAGTAACCCATATTCGAGCAAATAAACTATTATTATTATTATACTCTAGAAGGTGTTATACGATGTATTGCCTGGAAGAGATCGCTGTTTTAGCGAAAAGGCAGCCTATTGTACATTTTTCTTTTCTTTATTTTACTCCTATTATTTTTGTCTATATTGGTGTGCAATAAAGAGTATATAAATAAATAAATAAATCCTATCTCAATCAGTACATGTGGGTGATGCCATCATCGTCGGCTCGTTGCGCCCAGTTGCCTCGCGCCGCTGACAAGGTCCCGTTCTACGCGGCCCTTAAGAAGTTCAGGGACTATCTGAATGGACTCCTGCCGAGGTTGGATGACGCTGAACTGGTGTTCCCTGACACTACCTCACGGAGACCGCACGAGGAGATGGAAATACGCAGGTACATGGACACTATAGAAACTATTATCAGGTCGAACATTTTCCGGGATGTAAAGTAGCCTATGTCTTATTCCTAGACGTCAGCTTCTTATATACAAAATTTTATAAAAATCGCTTCAGCAGTTTGAGCGTGAAGAAGTAACAAACATACACACTCACAAACTTTCGCAATTATAATGTTAGTAGGATTACACCATAGAAGTTTACCTCCTGATAACTTTATACCATAGAAGATTACCTCCTAGTAAAACTATCAGTACGAGATCCTATGGAGCTGTGAGAATGTTAATTGATCTTTCATGCAGAAACTGTAAAAGTAATAATTTGTATCTAAAACTGTCCTATGTTCTTTCTCAAGGTCAACTCCATCTCTGTACCAAATTTCATTAAAATCAGTTCAGTGGTTTAAGCGTGAAAGCGTAACAGACAGACAGAGTTACTTTCGCATTTATAATTTAGTAGGGATAAAATGTACAATAAATGTGAATTTTATTAGTGTTTCACCAATTGCTATAAATTATTACAAATAAATTTAGTCAAAAGTAAGGAAATAGTAGGTATCGAACCTATTACTTTTGTTACACACAGTTATTGAAAATGATGAACAAAATTTATTATTTTATCCTATAGAAATATAAAAAATGTTTTGGTTTAATAGTGAAATTAAAGATTTATATTATACAATACTCGTTTTCAGTTTTAAATAAATATATAAACGACTTATAAAAAAATCACTCCATATGTATGCGACATAAAATTCCAGGCGTACTCGACACAGCAATAAAATTTTATTCCCGCTAATTGAGATACATCGAGAAACATTTTTTTTTTCAACAAGAAATTTATTCTCCGTTATAAAAATTATACTTTATTTTTTCTTCAATTCCATTATTAAATAAATTCATGACATCAACTACCTTTATATGTTTTGGAAATACGAAAAATTACGTTATAATGAGAACATAAATTTTAAACATGATACATTATTCTGTTAATTTATTACATTTGAAAAAATGCATATTGAAACAAACTTTTAGTCCATAGTTTTATGCTAGTTATATCGGTACAGGCCTTTGAGCCTAGCTCAGAAATCGGGACTTCATTATACTCTGTAACTTTTTTGTGAATAAAGATTTATTATTATTATCATCGGTTAAAGCAAGCAATTTTATTAAGTTATTCGTAAATGACAGATTAAAAATACTGCACCAAAGCGGGTCGATTTACAGACTGACTATGGAGCCCGAGCCGGGAGACACTATTATACTAGAAGACGGTACGGAGGTCCCGCTCAAGAAAAAACGAGGACGACCCAAGAAAGTGAAGCTCGAAAACGGTGAGACGGTCCCCGCAGCACCCAGGGCGCCGCGGCAGCCCCGGCCTCCGCCCTCCATGGAGACCGGGGACCAGCCCGCCAAGAAGAAGAGAGGCCGCCCCAAGAAGATAAGACCCGAGGAACAACAGTTCCTCTTGCAGCAACAGCAACAACAACAGCAGCAGCAACAACAACAGGTACTGTATACATGAATAGAAGAAAAGGTGTAAATTATGTGTGAGACATGTTAGAATTATGATATAATGCAATGATTATAGTTTTTCGTATGGTCTCATATAAATTTTGCTATTGCGGTGAGATATGGAGGATTAAGTCTTTAGCCGTACGTAGGAGACCTTGTAGGAAATTATTTTTTGTAGTTATTTTAAATACAAAACAAATATTCATGTCTTTTCGAATTGTTATGTAAATTATTCTTCGTTTCTGTTATTCTATCTGTTCTATATGTTATTCTATCTGTTCCATATGTTGTTCTGTTGTTAATATAATAGTTCCTAAATATATTTCAGCAACAGCAAAGCAATTCAATGCTGCAGCCGCAGCTATCGTCCATGAGCCAGTTGCCGCACGAGCAGTTCCTCCACAACTCTAGCGGGGACTTCCAGCAGATGTCCTCGCCGTTGGGAGTGGGCAGTGTGGGCGTGGGCGTGGGCAACGTAGGCGTCGGCAGCGTTGGCGGAGTGAGCAACGTCAGCAGCGGCGTCATGTACGGTGTGCAGCATCAGCACCAACAGCAGATGTCAGACTCGTCGCCGTACTACCAACCTAACAATAGTTAGTATATCCTCAATTATTTTCAAGTTGTTTACAATTAGCGAAAAATATATCTACATTATTACCTTCTAGTTAATGTTAAGGACTAAATTTAAATTTAATCAATAAATACAAATTAAGAACTCATAAAAAACGTATAACATCATATTTAACATCGAACTATTTTCTTTGAATGAACATTATATATTCCAAAGATAACAATGAATTAAAATTTGATACATATATATTTTAATCACAGGTGGAGGTATGGATTCTCCGTTGGACGTGGGCGGCGGTCTGGGCATGTCTCGTGGTTACGGGTCACCTGGCGGCGTGGGCGTGGGTAGCGTGGGCGGCGTGGGCTTCGCGGCGTCACCACGACACGCGCACTCGTACGCGTCACCTCGCTCACAGCCATACTCACCCGGACCACAGAGACTGGCTGCTACGCCGCAACCACAACAACAGGTAACGAAACATGTGGTGAAGCTAATATGGCGTATAAAAATACTTGAAAATAATTAAAGGTCATAATTTATTTATTTATTTATTTGAATGGCACATCAACAGTACATACATTAAACAATTCAAAATAAACATTTAAAACTGACACTTATCTGATGGTTGTACCAATTATAGACGTACACAGCACTGCTGAAGATTACTGTCTAGCTGCTTACAAACATTTTATAAAAAAATAAAGATTACAAAAGAATTTTCAATTATAAAAATATTACGAAAAAAATACAGATAACAAAAGAAGAAAGAGTATCACATAACAATCAAGATAAACTACTACAGCTAAAATTTACTAACAGGACTTGACAAAACATCACAAATTTTTCAATATTTTGAGTTAATGCACACAGATCGTTATACTGGCCACCTATTCTATTTATAGGGGAATATTTAGCAACATTTGTGCGTGACTTCGCTATTCACTAACATAAGACCACTTGTAAGTTAATTCTACTTAAATTATACAATGTATCTTAAACAATTATGTAATTTATATTCTAAGCCGAGTTACAACAATAAACATGTAGCGTAAATCTATCAATTGGTACCCACGACAGAGGAATACCTAGTGTGGGCACCACCGGACATTTCTTTGTATATTGTTGTTTTTTTTTGTTAATAAACATTTTTTGATTTTTTTTTTAATAATATATATAGATTAATAAAAAGGTGTTGGTATATTTCAGTTTCCATCGAGCCCGGCGGCATTTTCGGCGCCATCACCACCGCGTGCTGGGTACGGTTCACCCGGCGTGGGCGGTGTGGGCGTCGTGGGCGGCGTGGGTGGTGTGGGCGGATCGCGCGGGTTCGCGGCTCGTTCCCCACTGTACGCGAGCTCCCCGGCCGCTTACCGCCAGCAGCCGAGCCCGGCCGCTCAGCCCCAGCCGAGGTTTACACACGATGGAATGCCTTTTGCTAGGGATACACAGGTAACTATATTATATATATACTATAATAATAGGAGGATTATATTGAGGGAAGTAAGTAGGCCAAGAGTTTAATAACAGTTATAAAAACATAACACACTATAATTTTATACTACAACAGAATGTGGAATATTATAACATAGTAATAGTGTCTACAAAACGTTTCATATATCTGGTATTGGGGCGCATAGGTTATGATGATCGCTTAAAATCAAGCAATAACACAGATATCATATATATTTTATGTCTGTCTTGTCTAAAAACATACATAACACAATAATACCTTGTATGGGTTCACCCATACATTAACATAATTTTATTGTACGTACACATTAATAAGCATATATAAATGTAAGCATTGTCATAATTTAGTCAGTATCAATAAAGCGTTCAAATAAACAGGTCGTTCTCAAGACCTAGACGCGATACTCACAAACTTGCTGGTCTCCATTAACTATCATATCTAAAGGGTGTGTGGTATCAAACCCATACATCGTTTTGGTCCTTCGAGCCGGATCGCATAGCACTTCTACATCGTTTTGGTCCTTCGAGCAACTTCACTCGCGGATTATCCATCCTCCGAGTACATTGACCATACGCACGGGTTGGTCAAAGTGCGAGACTAAGGCCACGTGTCGCACGGCGATTGACTTTAACGTGTGGAACAGTGACCGTCAGGCGATTTATATCCACTTTTATGTGACAATCATTCAACATCAAGCATAGTAATTTTACATCGAGCATAATATCATAACATCATAAGGAGCCAGTATAGTAAACAGCATAACAGCAAGCATATTATCAGAGCTGAGAGTTATTCAGCACAGCATCAAGCATAGCAGCAAGCATATTATCAGAGCTGAGAGTTATTCAGCACAGCATCAAGCATAGCAGCAAGCATATTATCAGAGCTGAGAGTTATTCAGCACAGCATCAATCATAGCAGCAAGCATATTATCAGAGCTGAGAGTTATTCAGCACAGCATCAAGCATAGCAGCAAGCATATTATCAGAGCTGAGAGTTATTCAGCACAGCATCAAGCATAGCAGCAAGCATATTATCAGAGCTGAGAGTTATTCAGCACAGCATCAAGCATAGCAGCAAGCATATTATCAGAGCTGAGAGTTATTCAGCACAGCATCAAGCATAGCAGCGAGCATATTATCAGAGCTGAGAGTTATTCAGCACAGCATCAAGCATAGCAGCAAGCATATTATCAGAGCTGAGAGTTATTCAGCACAGCATCAAGCATAGCAGCAAGCATATTATCAGAGCTGAGAGTTATTCAGCACAGCATCAAGCATAGCAGCAAGCATATTATCAGAGCTGAGAGTTATTCAGCACAGCATCAAGCATAGCAGCAAGCATATTATCAGAGCTGAGAGTTATTCAGCACAGCATCAAGCATAGCAGCGAGCATAGCGTCATCGAACACACAGTGTTCAGCGCAGCATCGAGGATAGCATCGGTCACAACAAGTGAGATCTTTCCTTTTATTTCAATTTCATTTTAATTTTTCCTCAACATGGAGGATATCATAGCAAAGCAGAATGAGATACAAATATCGATTCAAAAACTTGCGTCTAATTTCAAAAAGGATAGCGCAGAGCGTAAAACAGATGAGTACATTAAAAGAAGAATCGAAAGCCTTGATTCATATTGGGTTCAATACCAAAACAATCATTTAATATTAAGCGAAAAGGGAGATAGGAGTGATCATTATTTCACTGAATTTCATTATGATAAAACTGAAAATCTCTATAAAAATATACTAAGCAAATGATTATTAACTATAAGGGTATATCAGAAAGGCCTGGTACGTCGGTTGAATATTATTCGACACCTCAAAAACATCAGGGTGTTAATAGCAAAACGGACGACTTGTTAAAAAAGCAATACAGTAATTTTAGAGCATTCCAGCGTACAATAAGGAACATAAATGTAGATTCTTTAAAGGAAAAATGGGAGTACGAAGATTTGCTCAACACTATACAAAGTAGGTGGGCAGTAATAGATTCATTACATTAGGAGCTAGACAGTGAGTTGGAAGGTTCAAATCAAGCATACGAAGAAAGATTTACAAACTACGAACAGATTTATAGTGACATGAAAAAGTCAATTAATAGCAAAATATGGTCTACGGCACACAAAGAGAAACTGACTCCGCAAATGGAGATTCCAATTTTTAGTGGTACATATCATCAATGGACATCCTTTAAAGATTTGTTTACAGAAGTCATTCATAGTAATTCATGCATATCTAACGCGCAGAAAATGCAATTTTTAAAAAGTAAAGTTCGTGGAGAGGCCGAACGATTAATTCAACACCTTTCGATTAGTACAGAAAACTATACCACCTGTTGGGATATTCTTAATCATAGATATAACAATAAAAAACTAATTTTTTTCATCCCACGTGAATATTCTTTTAAATCTTCCAGTAATGCAACAAATATCAATTAATCAAATAAAACGCCTACACGACACTACTTTAGAGAGTATAAATGCAATCAAAAATCTTGGGATAGATGTAAGCACATGGGATCCATTATTAGTTCATATTTTATCACAAAAATTAGATCAAGAGACGCACTCGAATTACTTGGAATCATTAAAAGAACCAAGAGAACTTCCAAAACTTCAGGATTTTTTAACATTTTTAGAGAGTAAATTTACAACTCTCGAATCATCTCGAAAGAAACCCGAAAACAATTCGCCGAAGTTTCATCAAAACATCAACAGCAATTATCGTGCATCAGCATTGAAAAATAAATCTGATTTTTATAATTCATACGGTAATAATTCAAACCGTAATTATAAATCATTTGTAAAATCATTACATGTAGCAGGTATCAAATGTCAATTTTGCAATAACAACGGACATGGAATTTTTAATTGCGAAAAGTTTTTAGCAATGCCTGTTGAATTGAGGTTCAAAAGGGCAAAAGAATTGGATCTATGCACTAATTGTTTATATAAGCATAATGGAAAACAATGCAATTCTTTCAAACGTTGCCTAATTTGTAATGGAAAACATAATTCGGTATTGCATGACGGTACGAAATTTTACACCATTGCCCAAAGTAGGCCATCGACTAACAAACAACAAAATGACGCAACAAAGGTATCAATATTGCCCGTAAACAGCAAAATTTGGGATAGTAACACAGAAAAAATACGATCGGAACAATCCTCTGAACCGACGAAAAAACAAACAAGAATAACAACTCGTCGGGGACTCAGTTCTACGATCATGACTTTGCTTTTCTTCATGATCACTATATCCAGCACATATTCGACTTCAAATGTAACTAAATTTAGAGACAATCACGGTTTATACTTCGATAACTTTGGAGATATGCAAATAATACGGGACGATTGGAAACTTATTCTATATTACAATATGGAACCTTATTGGGAAGGAATAGCAGCCATTAATAAGTATAAACAATCACTCGAACAAACCTGCAAAACAATAAGAACGCAGACACGATGCGAGTTACTATTATTACAATTAGGTCACGGGTGCGACGAACTGGAATATTACAATCAGCTGTTACTTGGTCAGCATATTTTGACTTCGTCGGCAAGGCTGCGGCGAGGTCTTATTAACGGTGTCGGCTATCTTGCAAATAGCCTGTTCGGAGTACTGGACGCAAGATTCGCAGAACAATATCAAAGAGATATCACATTACTTCGTACTAACCAATTAAACTTAGCATCATGCTGGAAAAATCAAACTTCTATAATTGAAGCTGAAATTAAGGTTCTTAAACGCGGGGAGAGCAACTTAGTAACATAGCTAGTCAACTATATAAAGACGTCACCTTGCCTATACCCAATATACATACCCAAACAAATAAAATTTATAAATTGGTTCAATCGAGAGTGGATTGAGAGTTATTCTCCAAACACATATATTTACTTTTGTTGTAACGAATGTCAGCTGAGATCTATATGTGGTGATCAAATTACGACTCATAAGTTTACGCGCGCTGGCATATTTACATTAGACAGAGATTGTACTATTAAGTCAGAGTATTTTACGTTATTAGCACATAACATAAAATCAAGCGAAATGCACTTAAACGCACAGATATTTGTACCGGTGATAGCACCAATAAATCATATTATGAATATATCAATACCAACCCTAACATTATCCAACTCTTCTGAGATTCAAATGCAAATTAAGAGCATTGAAAACAAATTGGAAGTCATGAAGAAAACTGAACCTTTACTAGACAGAATAACGTTTCATGACGTACATCATTATACTGCTATATATATTTGCGTCGGCATAATAGTAATTGCTGCGCTGTTATTCGGCTGGAGGCATCTTCGTAGGCCGATCCAGCCTGGGCCAGCGGCGCAGACGGCGAAGATGGAGCGACCTGGGGTGGCAGTGCCTTCCGAGGCGCCACCGACGGCGTCGAGCTATAGTGAAAGGTGCAGTGAATTCCGTAGTGCGCGTTATGTGAACAAAGCAACATCGCCTATGTGTACCAAGTGCAATAGGTCAAATAATGCAAGCATAATGATAGACTCTTCAAGCTTGTAAAGTTTTAATTATTAATTATCAATATTGTCTCATTTTATCTTTATTTTATATAAGTTTTTTGGTTTTCTTAAATATTACTTATATCTTATTTTATACCATAATTTGTATACCTTCATAGCATTTATAGTTTTTCTTTGTATTTCTTCCTGTCGGGAGTATGTATGGGTTCACCCATACATTAACATAATTTTATTGTACGTACACATTAATAAGCATATATAAATGTAAGCATTGTCATAATTTAGTCAGTATCAATAAAGCGTTCAAATAAACAGGTCGTTCTCAAGACCTAGACGCGATACTCACAAACTTGCTGGTCTCCATTAACTATCATATCTAAAGGGTGTGTGGTATCAAACCCATACATACCTTGTATATTTATCCTGTATCTTGTTCAATATGTAACTGTATGTTCCAGAGCGGTTCAGTATCAGCGTCGGGTGGTGGGTTCTCATGTTCTCCAGGCGTGGCGGGCGTGGTGGGCGGTAGTACCCCGTTCCCCGCCGCGTCCCCCGCCGCTCACTCATACACCCCGTCGCCCGCACACACGCCGTATTCGCACCACTCCTCCCCAGCGCCCGCGCCGGCACCACACACGCCATATGACTCGCATCATTTTGCTAATCAGGTTAATATATCATGTTATAAGTTTTTTTGTTTGAAACTACATATATCATCATCATCAGCCTATATCTTTATACAGGGTGACTGGTGAATTACTATCAATATTTAAGGAGAAAACTCGGTACATGATTCTCATTCGAATTATGTAAAAAAAATAGGCACTTAATTTTTGACTAAATTTCCGTATAAATCAATAAAGTGTTGACACGTTCCAAGTGTGGACGCGTGCGGCGGCGTGCTGATACAACACTACGCCGCCAAACGCGTATGTGTGAGTGTGTGTGTATACCTAATCTGTAGGGTGTTCACTCAATGCGTAATTAATTACATAACTTTTGGTTAACTTTACTTAGAAGTTTATTAATATTTATGTTATATTAATTTTTATTTTGTCTTATATGATCGTCAAATATCACGTCCTCAAGTATCGATAGTAATTCACCAGTCACCCTGTATACTATAAGACCCGGCGAACTTCATATCGCCCTAAAATCACGAAATATCTGTTACGTTTTCTTATTTATGTTTTTGGAGTTTACCTATTAAAGCCATAAATCTTCGCGTTTTGAAGTGCGACAGAATGATTGACATATTAGTTAGTTGTCAAATCTAATGTAAAAAAAAAAACGTTTGTATCAACAACTACTAATAAATTAAAAATTAATTAAAAAAACATTGTCCACACACAAAAAAATTCATCTATATCGGTGAAGTCGTTTGAGAGAAGTTCAGTGACATACACACTCACAGAAGAATTATATATATAAAGACTATCATCATCATCAGCCTATCAGCTCACTACTGAACTAAGTCTTCTCATATTGAGACGGTGAAACAATAAAACTACATGTAACTAACACAAATCATGGTAATATGTTTTTATATAAGAATTAATTTGGATATTCGTTGCATTGAAAATAACATAAAAACTATTGATTCACATCCGATTAGATTTAATACTATTAATACTAAGTCACCTGGCAAATGTTTCAGTTATTTTTTTTTCATTGAGGCATTATTTGGCTTATGTTTACTACTACTACTTACTAGTTTTTATAACTGTGTCTCTAATGAAAAGACAACGTGTTCACCACCAATACCTCAAAATATTAATGCTTAAAGGTGATAAATATCAACATTTATTGTTATTTTAATAAAAACCTATTTTGGGAGGGTAGTTCAGCGTTCTAGTTTATAAGTTTGAGAAATTGTTTATATTTAGGCATATATAGTAAACACTCCTTATTAAGCCCAGTGCAACACCTCGTCTGATATGATAATTTATTTATTTATAGGTTCGCTAGCGATTTTTACAAAAATGTATATTTAAATAACGTTACATATAAAAAAAAACATGCATAAACTGTGTAAAATCAGTAAAAAGCAAAACATTGAATGCAAACACAATTCTTTCTTTTAAGTATTGTTTGATAAATATAAATCTAAAACATAATGAATAGCCATTACCCGCGTTGTTACCCGCGGATTTCAGGGATTTCCGGGTTGTAAAGTAGCCTATGTGTTATTCCTGGACGTCAGCTTCCTGTATACAGAATTTTATAAAAATCGGTTCAGCCGTTTGAGCGTGAAGCAGTAACAAACATACACACACACTCACAAACTTTCGCAATTAAAATATTAGTAGGATTACACCATACAAGATTACCTCCTGATAACACAATCAGTACGAGAGTATATGGAGCTGTGAGAATGTTGATTTATTGTATGTAATATTGATATTTTTATGTAGGTAATATTGATACTTTTATGTATTTTTTTGTATGTAATATTGATATTTTTGTAACAGGGAAGTGGATCGAGTGGTTCCGGCGGTGGTTCTGGCTACGGTGCAGAGTTGTCCAGCGACATCGGTGCGGCGATATCTTCCCCGGCGCCTGTGTCGCCAGCCTGCGCCAATCTGGACTTCGAGCCGCCTAGAGACGACTCGCCCATGGGCAGCACAGACATGCATCCGGGCAGCAATAGCAATTCTTCGCTGTCAGACTATAATAAGGTTAGAAATGAAACATTTCATCATTCAATGTATTCACCGTGCGGGTGCCGGGTCCATCGTTGCAGGGAGAGGAGCTTCAACAGTGACTGGGACTTGCGATCCAGGTATAGGTTTAAGAGCCAATTATACATATAATTTAATTGACTATGCTTATATTAACTTTAAAACACAGATTGATCTTGTATTTTTATGATATTCTTATAATTATAGGCTCCTATCTAACGCTCAACTCCACTGTCCAAGCTCCTCTCTCTACTTAACCGAATTTGAAAAGAACCTACTAGGGCTGCCTTTATTTTAACTCATATCAAATACGTATTGAGTATTATTAACAACATGCTACTGAAGTTACGGTTACTTTGCAGCAACCTCGGTCGCGGACATATGAGCCATACATAATCCATAAAATATTAGTTTTATTTCAATGTATACTGGTAAAAGTCTTAGATATATTTGATATTAATACAAAATATAAACCGTCTGGTACTTTTACATAAAAGTTTACATAAAAGTATATTGCAATAATCGCACTTATTATTAACTAGCTTTTGCCGCAACTCCGTCCGCGTGGAGTAGTGACTTCCGGCAGATTTTTGGTTCTTCCCACATAGTTCCCGTTCTTGCGGGGTTTTCAGAATGGTCGAGTTCCCGTAGAGTTTTCAGGATAAAACCTATGTTTTTTTTTAATTCACAATGAAGTACTCTTAACCAACAACATATTTATTTGTTTATTTGAATTAAGATTTTATAAAATTATTTCGACCAAATGAGGTACCATAAAAACGGTTTTTATGAGTTAATCTTAAAAGATAGACATATACTGTCGCGGACTGTTTTTTAGATCATTAAAAGAGCTATCATTCTTTAACACATATTTTTTGTGTATCTTGAACCGTTTTCACGGCGCACGCAACGGAAGGCCTCAAAGATGAAATAATTTCTCCCGTTTTTTAAACATTTACCACTATATCTTTGCTCCTATTGGTCGTAGCGTGATGTTATATAGCCTACAGCCTTCCTCGATAACTGGACTATCCAACAAAAAAAGAATTATTCAATTCGAACCAGTAGTTTCCTAGATTAGCGCTTTCGAACAAACAAACAAACAAACAAACTCTTCAGCTTTATAATATTAGTATAGATAGTGAAATTGAAGCAATATTTAAGGATTAAAACAGATATCTTTTGATAAATGTTGATAAATATCGTCTATATAATATACGTTAGACTGGCCTTTATAAATTATGCAAAGATTTTCAAAAAAGAATTGTGGATAATATATATAAAGAGTACCAAACAAAGGGTCAAAAAAATATGGTAATAATGTTACTCATGACTAATTAACGATATATTAGTAGTAATAATGTTAGTAATAATATTTTGTATAAAGCAGCAAAGTAACCCGGGTGGAGGGGAAATGTCCCCGGCCGGTGTAGGCGCGGGGTCGTTCGGAGGCGCACTGTACGACGACTCGAGACTGGCCTACAGCGACAAGCCCGACTATCATTACCAGGAACAAGGTACATATACATACATATATATATATTGCTACAAGTGGCGCCATCTGTGACGTACTAGTTCTAATATACTGTTATATGTCCGCCTGTCATGCATGAGGGTGCGCGTTTGAAGCCTGCCAACTACCAATGTGATTTTTCCGAGTGATATGTACTTTCTTAGAGTAATTAAACAGAAGGAAAACATCGTGAGGAATCTTGGACTTATAATTTCAAATTATAAGTTTGAAATTACCAACCCGTCTTGAGCAAGCTTGGTGATTAATGCTCAAACGTTCTCCATGTGAGAAGAGATAAGCTGATGATGATGATGACTATCCTTAGGATTATTTTTTACGACTGATTATAATTATTAAGTATAATGCAGAACCAATCTTATTTTATAATAGCAACATTTCAGTATCAGTATTTGAAAACTATACACTGGCTTTAACCATTTTGTAAGACAACTGAAAGTAAGACTGAACATTATGACACTTGTGACATCTTATTACATTTCAAACACTATAAGACTTGTGTTCTTTGTTTTCAAAAACTATTCAAAATATTTTAATTAAACATTACAATAATGTAGCTTATAAATTAGAATAAATTTTATGATAATCCCATGTGTTCACATTTATATAAATATTTAAGTAGGAAATTGTTATATAAATATTTCTTATTAATAATAGAGTTAAAGTTTATAAATTGCTACGAAATTTATTTTTTCATATCTTATTTTTTAGCAAGTGTTGTATCAAACAGAAATTTAATATTAGTTGTTTGTTTGTTAAAATTGTCATCAATATATTTTGTTATAAGAATTAATATGAATTATAAGTTATATACTACACTTATATTATAAATAATAATGTTATTTACTTTTAAATCTAGTATATTTGTTGTTTATTTATATATAATGTAATATGTTTCAGGCAATGGTGTAGGAGACAGTCCTCGATTAGATCAATTACATCAACATCCCTCCATGTATCCTAGCAATTTTAACAGGTATATATATAAGAACATTATATTAAAATTTATTAGATAATTAAATTTTATTTCATATAAAAAAGTTTTTTTTAATAACAAATTTCAGTAGAGTTTTGGCAACATACAATATCTCTTAACATAGGCTTTCAATATCTTACTGAAAAATTCTTCGTAGTAAAATTAAAACACTATTACTAGAAAATTAAGTTGTAATCATTGAAAATTACACTTTATAGTTTATAGTATATGTATATACATATAATTTGTTTATCAAATCAAAAAATCTTTATGTAGACACACATCTTATGCAAACAATATAAAACCGCATATATATAAAACAAACATATGAAGATAGAGTATACTCAAACAAAAGTAAAGATGAAAATTAAACAAAACAATTTGTGATGCCCAAATTGGTTTGCCATTCAGCATATATGTTGAAAATCATAGTAGTAATGAGTTTCAACGCTGATATTCTGTGGCCGCTACTAAGTACGTATGTCTTATTAATTTATGTTTCTTAATAATAGTTGTATGTCTGTCTGTGCCAGGTCAACGCCCACCGGTGACAGTGACTCGGGCTTCGGCCGCGGCTCGTTCCGGGCGCCCGAGTTACATCACCCTCCGCCCGCAGGTAAACTATTCATTACATTATATATTACATGTTACACATTATACATATATGTATTTTCACTAATTTTTCAAAGACAAATAGCCTTTGATGAGAAAAAAAATGATCTGAACTATCGTTAATAGGGAGAAATAAATACACTTGCTGCTTGAGTACCGCTATATTACGAATGAATTGGTATGGCACAAACTGTCTATTAAATACAAATCTTATACACAAGTTATATCAAATTACCCACTTTACTACACTCCTCCCCTCTATACAATACAACCCCTTAGCCGAATACAATTAGCTTAACCTAAGTCATAAGATTTAAACATATATATATTTTTTTTAAATGTTAATATTAACTTATTTATTATTAAGTAAACTTACAATATATTAAATTATTTAACACTATCATGCAATGGTTTAATTAAACGACATTTGCGTATTGGCCGTAACCGAGGCGGTGACACGGGCAGCGGCGACTCAGCTGCGAGTGTGGGCGAACTTGGAACCATATCAGTCTTTGGCTCGTTTAGCTCTGGTTGCGGTCTCTCTCCACACGACTCCTCTCTGACAACCGGCTCACCCATTCTTGGCATCTTTGGACTATCGCTCAAGAGTGCCGGTGTCCGAACCCCAGGGGAATCATGCTGCGATGGAGTGTATGGAGCAACTATGGAATTACGCGTAGATCTCCGTCTTAACTGATCAATATGTCTGTGCGATCCTCTCCCTACATCATCTAAAATGCTATAATCCGTCGCGCCTAATCGTTCTATAACCTTACCCGACACCCATTTATTAGCGCCCTGATACTGTCGCATCCACACATTCTCTCCCGGCTCTAAAGACCGACTGTTCTCTGTTCCTAACTTCCTTTGACGCGTTTGGGCTTCCTTCACTTTTTTATCCCTATCTGGTCTAAGTAAATCTAATTTTGTACGTAAACTACGTCCTAACATTAGAGAAGCAGGGCTTTCCCCTGTAGTACTATGTTCCGTGTTTCTGTAATGTAATAAAAACGTGTTAAGAAATGATTGAATGTCCTCTTTTTTACGGATTGCTTTTCGTATTACTTTTTTTATCGTACGTACAGCATTTTCGGCGGCACCGTTTGACGCAGGGTGGTAAGGAGCTGAAAATAAATGTTCTATGCCTAATTTATTTGTAAATTTTGAAAAATCCATACTTGTAAATGGCGGACCATTGTCGGTTACCATCTGCTTCGGTAGCCCCCATCTCGCAAAAACTTCCTCTAATTTATTCAATGTATAACGCGCGGCGGTACTAGGAACAGGATATACCTCGATCCACTTAGTTCTCGCGTCAATTAAAATTAAGTAAATTTTATCTTGAAAAGGACCCAAAAAAAATCTAAATGAATCCGTGACCAGGGCCTTGAAGGCCACGGCCATGGATTTACAGTATGACGGGTTGGTGCATCCGCCTCCGCGGCACACACTTCGCACTGCTTGCATACCGCCTCCACCGCTTCGTCGATCCCCGCCCACCACACGTAGCTGCGGGCCATCGCTTTAGTTTTACTAACCCCCATATGCGGTTCATGCAAATCCATTAAAACCCTATCCCTACAGTTTTCAGGAATTACCACCCTATGACCCCACATGATACATCCTAATTCCTCGTATAACTCTTTTTTTTCTATTAAAATAAGGTTGCAATTCCCTTATTTCATTTTGATCCGGCCAGCCACTTTTAATATAAAGTAATACTCTCCCTAATAAAGGATCTCGCAATGTTTGTTGTTTAATTTTATTATAATCGAGCAATAATTCACTTTGAGCGAAGTGTAAATAAGTCTGTTCGGGCGGATCGAGAGGTGAGTCATCCCCGCTCACATTGCGGCCGGGCAGTCGCGATAAGCCGTCGGCGCTGTTATGTTTTGTATTAACGTATTCAATATCGTAAGTGTACGCAGATAATATTACTGACCATCGTTGCATACGACTCGCTGCCATGGCCGGAATGCCATGTTTGGGGCCAAAAATGCTAACTAGGGGTTTATGATCCGTTCGCAACGTGAAACGCCTACCGTATAAATATTGATGTAATTTTTTTAAACAAAATACAATTGCAAGCGCCTCCCGATCGATCTGTGAATAATGCTTCTCGGTCTCTGTTAACGCGCGCGATACGTACACTACAGGCCGCTCGGCGCCCCCCGGCTCCGGTTGAGCGAGGACGCCGCCGATGCCTCTTGAGCTCGCGTCACACGTTAGAATCAATGGTTTTTTCGCATCGTAATGGGCTAAGACTTTCTTACTCGTTAAAATTTTTTTAATTTTAATAAACGCTTCTTCACAATCATCCGACCATTTCCAACCTATTCCTTTTTTTAATAATTTATATAACGGATACAAGATTTGACTTATGTTTTGAACAAATTTAGCATAAAAATTAACTAAGCCCAAAAATGACCTTAGCTCGGATACATCTTCTGGACGTGGAATTCGAACAATGGCTTCAATTTTATCCTTATCTACCTTAACACCCTCTTTAGATATTACATAACCCAAATATTTAACTTCTTCTACTAAAAATGAACATTTACTTTTTTTTAATTTCATACCATGAGATTGCAATTTATAAAAAACTTTTTCGAGTGTAGCTAAATGCTCCTCGCGACCTCCCTTGGTTCCAACTATGACGTCATCCTGGAATACTTCTACTCCGGGCATATCACCAAGTAACTGGGACATTATACGCTGAAAAATCCCCGGACTAGATGAGAGTCCAAATACCAACCTATTATACTTAAATAACCCCCTATGTGTATTAATAACTGTCAAATCCTTAGAATTATCTAAAACGATCTGATTGTAAGATTGTGATAAGTCGATTTTCGAAAAGCATTGAGCTCCATTCAAACTAACTAATAAGTCCTCAATTTTCGGTAAAGGATACCTATCGATCAGTAAGACGGGATTAATTGTAATTTTATAATCCGCGCATAAGCGTAATCCCCCGTCACTCTTACGTACCGGTACTAACGGAGTTGCCCAGTCCGAACTGTTCACCGGTTCAATTATGCCGTCTCGCAACATTTTATCTAATTCCGCGTCCACTTGACCCTTCAGCGCGTAAGGTAACGGCCTCGCGCGACAGAACACTGGGGTCGCTCCATCCCGCACTCGCAACTGAGCCTTGCCGCCCGTGAAGCACCCCAGCCCGCCACTGAACAGCTGATCATATCTGTTAATTAAAGTTTTTAAATCGTAATTCGACAAATTAGTACATTTTTGCACACAATTAATATTTTTATGAAAAGAGGGTATTTGTATTCCTAGCTCGGACAGCCATTGTCTCCCCAATAACGACGTAGTTCCCCCTTCAATAACAAATAAATCTAATTTTTTACATACATTATTATAACAAACATTAGGTTTAATTATCCCTAACGGCTGTATCGAGCTACCATCATAAAACTTAAAGGTTAAGTTTTTTTTTTCTATTACTATATGCTTAAAATATTTATCATACATTCTCTTGCTAATGCATGACACTGCAGACCCTGTATCTATTTCCATTTTTAATACAATATTATCTATGCATATTTCTAAGCTTACCGGCTTATAACTATTTAAGCTGAGTTGATGCAACTCCTCTTCCGAACTGCTATCACCGTCCGATCGATCAGAGGCAGCCACATGATTGACTTTCTTTCCTCTTCTAGGGCTTCCCGACCTCGGACAAACCCGTTGCAGATGTCCTTTTTCCTTACATCTCCGACATGTAAAACCTTTATAGCGGCAAACCTTGTTATTATGGCCTGGCTTCCCGCACGTTGAACAGCTTTTGTCCACTCCCCATGTCCAATCACTTGGGACAGGGATCCTAGGTCCCGGCTTCTTCGGTCCCCTTTGCCTTGTTTCAGGCTCCTTTGATCCACGACCCATCATCACGTGAACCCCTTCTACAGAGGGTGCATTCGAGCCCTCCACCACTGCAGCATCCCGTTCAGCTGCTTCTAGGGCACATGCCAACTTCAACGCGCCGTTATAATTTAAATTATCCTCAGCGAATAACCGTTGCCGTGTGACGTCACTCCGTAATCCACACACTAATTGATCCCGCAAGTTTTCTTCTAGATTATTCGTAAACTCACAGTATTTCGATATTTTTTTTAATTCGGTTACGTACTGCGCCACAGATTCATCGTTCCGTTGTCTTCTTTGACGGAAGCGATAACGTTCCGCCATTACGGACGGCCGCGGTTGTAAGTGATTACGCAATAATGCAACCGCCGCATCATATGTTAATTGCACTGGTTTAATCGGACTCGCCAAACTGCTAAGCAATTCATACGCTTGATCACCGATCGCGGTAATTAAAGTAGGCAGCCATAAGTCTTTTTCCACTTTGTTCACTTTTAAGAACATTTCTAACCTTTCCACGTATAATGTCCAGTCCCCGGAATTAATGTCAAATTCGTTTAATTTTCCGCACGCCATTTCACTTTTGTTCTTTATATTTATTTATTTTAAATATCCCGAACTCGTACGCCACTGAACTATCGTTAATAGGGAGAAATAAATACACTTGCTGCTTGAGTACCGCTATATTACGAATGAATTGGTATGGCACAAACTGTCTATTAAATACAAATCTTATACACAAGTTATATCAAATTACCCACTTTACTACAGGGTCAATTTAAAAAATGCAATAAACTGTCATGTTCGAAATAATTTTATAAAATAAACATATATACACAGTTGTTTAATGATGAAGTGTTAAAAACCTGCCACTGTTTTTAGCAATCTCTTCATCACTAAACGACTGAGTTCATTGAGATGTAATTAATTATTATCAAGACTTATATTCAATTGTAAGAACACTTTCTTTACAAGATTGCCAATTTCTTTTGAAATGGAATATGTATATGTAAGAATCCTATTAGTGACATCATACGGTGACTCATAATTTAACCATGTTTTCATGTGTCATTACTCATTATTTAAAAAGGATAATAAGAATAATGTTTAACATATTAATACTAATTTGAAATGTTGAATGAAATTAAATTGATTAAAAATATGTTGATGTACCAGGCGGGTGACAAAATGTTTTTTTAATTTTACAATGGTTTATTGGAAACATATTACATGCTTATGTACCAAATTCATAGGTCAAAAAATGTATGACATGTACATATATTAGGATGATGTACTAGGAACGCACCTCGCATTTATTTACAGCAAAGCGAGAAAACCCACTTGGTGAAAGAAAAACTTGTTTTGGACCTGGTTTCTGATTTAGGGCACTCATATTTAAATTTATGGTTCGATCTTAATTTTGTTTGTGATAAAAATCACCGCAGATAACTGGGCTATCGAAGAAAAAAACTTCTATTCGTTTGCCGAGATCATATCATTGGATGATCTGAATCGCCAGTATATCGTTCCGATAATTCACTATTTTATATGTATATATTTGTACAGGAATAGAACAATCGGACTAATGTATATGAATACTGAATTCTTAACATATATTTTGCAGGTTCCCCCAGTGAGTACAGCGGCGGAGGCGACTCTGGTAACGGGACACCTAAGAGCAAATCACAAGACGTGGCTTCCAAATCGTTATCGGGTTTGGAGTCGCTCGTCGATCAAATACCTTCCATAGCGGACGGGCCGGCGGGCGTGGGCGGTGTGGGCGGCGTGGGCGCGTCCGTGGGCAGCGTGGGCGAACAGGGCAGCGCCCCGCCAGTACCCTCGCTGCCGGAGTACACGCCAGCGTTGTACCCTCCATATCCGGCGTACGGCGCACCGGCATACGGAAATAACAGGTGCGGGTTTGATAATTACATAGTCTAAGTAATATATACATATATAGTTTTTACAATGGAATTACTTTTAAATCCTGAGCGGTCAATTTATATAACGTTCTAATTTGTATCATAAATCTTTATGTTATAAGATATTAATATGTTAATTGTTGTTATAGATATAGAGCAAATGGTTCAAATGTTTTTTTTTATTATATTTTTGTGTAATTTTACCAATTAGATATTATTTCAAACGTTATACACTTGCTTGACATTTTCTAAGCCTTGTATGATGTAGTATAATGAATGGTATAATTATTTTTCCTGAATACACCACTTTGTTTGATTGTCATTTACTATTATTATAAGAGTAGTAATAATTTACTGCTAAAAATGAACCGATGTCCACGATACAGGCCCGGCCTAGTGTGGACATAAATTTTTACTGTAAATTGCGTTCTAATGTATTTATTTATAAATTAATTAATTTATATTATCTCATACCAGTTACAGCGCTCCGTTTGTCGGTTACGGCGGTGGTTGGGGCACTCAGCTAATGCGGCCGGCGCCGGGCTACCTACCTGATTGGCAGTATGGATATGGCCCACCCGCGTACGCCTCATACAACTCACCATACTACTACGGTAATCCGGGACCGCCGCCCGCGCATCATCAACAGGTACGTACATACATACATACATACATACATATATATACGATTGAAATATATATGTCACCGGAAAATAACAAGACTCGTAAGTTGATAAATTTTCTAGGTAGTTGATCAACTCTCGGAAAATAATGAACGGCAGTTGAAATGTACTATTTAACGCATGTATTTTAGTAAGTTGATTAATTTACGGCGTCTCGCCGTTAAATCATCCGACAAAGGCGAGGTGTACGTTGATTGGTTAGGTTAGGTTACTAGTTTATTAAGTGACGGATAATAGTGTACCGTCAAATAGTACATTGGGCAACGATTGGCCCATTCGTGGATGATTTTACTTGTAGCAATATACATATGTAGTTAATTATTAAATTACGGCTAGGTACCGTAAATTTACCAATTACCTAAAATTCAATGCGTTAAATAGTACATTTCAACTACCGTTCATTATTTTCCGAGATTTGATCAACTACCTAGAAAATTGATCAACTTACGAGTGTTGTTATTTTCCGGTAACATGTCTACATATCGTTCTAATTATTGGATTTGAATAGCCTTTGCTGACATCGAAGGTTTATATCTTTAATGACATTCACATATATTTCCAGCACTAGTATTTTACTTGCTAGTGCTTTAACCAGCCAGCCTGTCCCGTGTCATCCCCCAGAGATGTATAATGACTATTCAGTGATGTTTCAGACCCACTACCTGTCCCCGCCTCTGTTGGAGCTCCACAAGAGCGGCGAGCACGCGGCCGCCGTGTCAGCGGTGCCCGCGGTCCCCTCCGTGCCCTCGGTCGGCTTTGGAGGCTTCTGTTAGCGGACACCTCCCCCCCAAAACCACCCCCCACCAGCGACCGCCGGAACAGAACCTACTTCTGATGAGCTTAATTTTTAGTGATTTATTTGTAAATATTGTATGTATTTATTTGTAACCATCACATTATGTGTCGGGAGGCGGGGGCGCGGACGCTCGGGATGTCTGTGATCGCCGTCGTTTTGGCGGTTTAGTTCGGTTTCGGTGGAAATTATAATAATTGTATATTATACGTGAGGGTTGGTCCGTGTGTAGTCTTGCCAATGAATGTTTCGTGTTCTAGTCACTTGGTGAACGTGTGGGCTAGTCATATCGTGTGTGGCGCCGTCCGTCCCCTCCCCCCCCTCCTCGCGTGTCCACAGCGGCCTACATTATATGTCGATGTATCTTCTTTAAGCTTCATTTCCGTGTCGTAGAGTGTGTTACTCTGTTACTCTGTACATCAACTTTAAGCATTTCTTTTCTAAGTATAGTGATTTCTATGTACTTATTTTCTACATCGTTCCGTGACCCGCGTCGTGTCATGTCTACGCGATAGCTCAATTTTATAAATGTATATTAGTTGAAGTGCATTCGACCACAATGTTACCGAATCAGTTGTTTAGCTTCGGATCGCTAGTGAATAGCATAATTTTTACATATAATAATCTATTTTATAAAGATCGTGCGCCATCTTTACGTGTAAGATTTGTTTACGTGTGATGCCCTTAGTTTATAGTTTAACGTTTCTATGCATAATAAATACGTTCGGTGCTGTTGGGTTCAGTCGTTGTGTTGTTTACTGAGCGAGGGATCTCGGATGTGCTTCGTGTTTATTTCTAAGTCTTTTGTATGTTGTTGATGTTTTTATTTCTATAACGGCGGCATCTGAGGCGGCGTCCGATCGGATGTCCGATTAAAGAAGAAATCGGCGTCTCAGTGAGCGTTGCATCGCTCGGGGGAGCGGTCCTATTATACACCCGAGAATCGGTGTTTGTCTTAAAAAAATCGGTTGCACAAAAATATATTTATATATACATTAATGGTTAGATAAAAAAAAAACGAAATAACATACGTAAGAAAGACATATACGTTAATGGTAGGTTACTCGAAAGAATTTATATTTACGATAGGTGAGGTCGCCTCGGAGTGTGACGGGCCTTCTGACTCGTTCCCGGTGTTATGGCTTGATACTAAACGTTCTGTTCTCACTCTATGATATGATATGATATGATATCGTCTACTTACATTATGTTCTAGAGTCGCGTTTATGATATTAGTTGGAAGTCTCGAGACTCGCTGCAATATTTCGACGCGTCATTATGATTTTATATATTTTTATTTTTGTCATTCAGATGAAGTAAAAAAAAAATCGCTAAGTTTATAAATGAAATCAACAGGGTATTTAAGATTGCTTAAGATATATTATTTTATATTTATTATTTCGCGCGCGTGTTCGCCCGCGTATATTATTTTTTGTTTAGCGTTATTTACAATGTACTGATATTGTTTATTACGTTTCGTGATTCGCCTCGACGCTCGTACACAGCATCGCGTCACTGGTGTATCTTTATTTGAGATCGACACGGAAGTTACCAGAATCGTAACCAATAACTTTATCGTCAACAGTTATCGCGATGTAACTTTAAGTGTGCGTGCGTGGAGGTGTCGCGCGTTGTTTGTTTTTACGCTTGTGCCGCCATCTTGTTTTATAACACGAATGTTGACAGTTGGAGCGTAGAAGACGCAACAACGGTATATATAACGCCTTTGTACATAACGAGTGCTTTATTACGCTTTTTTGATATTATATATTTTTTATTTAATCTAAAAATACTTTAATATTATTCGCTTTCATGTTATATCATGGTTTATTTACATGTACGGTGTATAGCCGATGGGCCGCCTGCCGGTCGTTTTGTTTTCTTTATAACTGTATGTAGCGTGTCTATTGTCTTTGTCTGTGCTCGTCCACCGGTAGCGTCAGTATTAGCGGCAGGCGGCGACCTAATGTTCGTCAAACGCGCCCGATGTCCTTTCCGTTGCTGTCAGCGTCTCGAATCACTTTTGTTTCTATACATGTTATTATTATTATAATAGAATGTATCAATGTCCGTGTTCATACTAACGGTCGACTTGTCGGGGGCGCAGGAACGATAGACTTAGGGGCGAGTTACGTCCGGTGATACCTACTGGACTTATTCGTAGCGGTTAGTGTAAGTCTCTATCAACGAGTTAGTATTAGTGTCCGCGGCGCGCGCGTCGCCCGCGTGCTCGACTCGTGCCCGCGTGCAGCGCGCGCTTTCTGTATTTTATCTCCTTAGATGTCGCCGGCCCTGCGCGCGACGCGTTCGTGATTTATATGTGTATTGGTGCGTGTCTCGGAGCGAGCGCCGCGCGTAGGGTGGGCGACCATCGTTAGCGTCGACCGGTGTACCCACCGTGTCGCCCGACTATTTGTACAGTATGTATATTTTTGTAAAATTCATTCTAACTTGTGGCAATATTATGAAATTTAAAAATTTATCTCTAATATTGATACTTAGTACAATTGTTATACAGTTATTTTGAATCGATCACATTTCATACACACAACCTATACAACACAGCACGGCGGTGTGTCGTCATGGAGTCCAGGTGTTCAGGGATACGTTAGGGGGGGCGAGGTTCATATGACGCGTGGCAGGGAGGGGGGCCGCGGGAAAGGCTTCGGCCGTTGGTTGTGAATATTGAGGCGTCCCCGTCTGCGGCCTACCCCCTCCCCCGCCGCCCCGCTCCCCCCGCGTGCACAAGCAATAATTATACATTATAAAGAACATATAGCAATAAAAGCCTGTCTGAGGCGAGGCCGTTCAAACAGCCCTCTCCGATGTACGCCCTCCAGTGTTGTACCACAGTCATGGTGACAGGGTGACGGTGTATGGAACTAGCTCAATTTTATTGATACTTAATTATTGTAATTTTATTAATTGTATTGACTTGCTTGTTATTCACAGTTAACTCGTTCCGAGTCATATTATTTTTGGCCGGCGCCCGTCAGCGGCTGCCGGTCGTTGTAAAGTACACCCCGTTTAAGTACTCAAACGACTCGCATTTTAACTTCGGTGCTTGTTTCTCTATGGACGGAGCCGGGGGGCGGGGGTAGTGTAGCCTCTAGCTCTCGTGTTACATAACATTTGGTACTTATTAGTCAATTATTTGCAACCACCGCGACCGCCCGCCGTGCCCGTCCCGCGCGTGTTATAAAGTACAATTTATCAATATACCTTTATTAATTAATTAATTATATTATACATATAAACGCAGTGTACGCTGTCGTCTCTGTTACACGATGTCACGTGTTCTCATCGGATCAGTAATGGTTTGGTGTGTTCCCTTTTTATTATATATTTACGCTAGCGGTAACACAGTTGATATGTTTGTACAGTTTTTAAACGGACTTCTTGTAGTTAACTAAGCAAGAATTATTTTAGTATAATATAAGATCTAATCGAATTACATTTTAGTGTATTATAAATAAAATTACACGAAGGTTTTTTCAAACAAAAAAAAAAACAATTTGGTTTACGATTCTACTGTCCCTTGTGAGTTTTTATTTGGAATAATAATAATAATGTGTCATTGGAAGCTGACTCCGTAGAGTGTAATTAGAAATTAAACAGGAAAAATTTTAAATAATTAATTACAACATTAATAATAAGTAATGTATTATAAATAGGTTTAAGGTAAAAGTTATTAACATTGTATGGAAAAAAATTGTGACAAAATTATAGTCATTTGTAATATTATAATGATGTTTTATTATACCCTGTTGGTCCCGAATCCCAATATATACATCAGAACAAAATAAGCAAAGAATCAATTTTATTTGTATAAACACAAATGCAAATAAGAATCTCTCTTAGGCCTCGGCCTCGAATTTTGCGGGCAGCGGAGCGGCAGCGGCGGCGGCACGAAAACGCATACATTTCTCCAAAATAGCGGGCAGCGGGCACCGCTGTATTCGAGGGTCGGTCCATTTGATTATACGCGTAAGATCCTGCCGCTCCCGCTCCCGCTCCGCTGCCCGCAAAATTCGAGGCCGAGGCCTTATAGTTTTATTTTCATTATCATTTATCATATTATTTGGTGTGACAAAATAATATAGGTCCATTGAATAATTTCTGAATGTAAGTTTATCGTGTACCTTTTTTAAATTTGTACTTCCTATACAATCCTCCACTTAAAAAAATTTCAAATAAGCAATATATTTTTCAGGGCTACATTTTTAAGATTGTGTTTAAAAATATCTTAAATTTCAGTATAAAATTTGTAAGAAACTAGCCGTCTCCTTGTAAATTACAGTAATGATAGACTATTTCACCAAGGAAAGATTATTTTTCTTGTAAAAGATATATGTATCTAAGTTCAACGTCATACCAGCGTTGTCATCCAAGAAGTAAATATGAAGATGGCACTTCACTTTTCGTTTATTTGTTGTTTTCGGCCAAATAAGACCATGTGTGGAGGATTTATTCGTCATCATTTGACATATTTGCACAAATAAGACATACACAATTAAGCGAAAATGCGTAAAGAGGTTTTGTGGGCATGCCAAGTGTAGATGTTGTATTTGCACTATTTGGACTACGTACAAATATTTGGACAAATGCGGCGAATACGAAACGCCAAATGAAGGGCCACCTTAACGTATAAAGGGGAAAAATTGCATGGTTTAAATTATTAGTGTTTAAATCAGTTAGCAGGAACTTATTTTAGTAAACACACTTGGGTACATTGTAGCAAGCAATAAAAATTCCTTGTACGGTTAATATTTAAAACATTGTCATTTTCAACTTTGTTAAGAAAGTAATAAGAACGTTTTTTTTTCCTTGACTTAGATTCAGTCCTTTCTTCAGTATCATAAAATTATGAACTAAATAAAATAGCGTCCAATTTGTTACTCATTTAATGAATAAAACGAACTTATAACATGTGGCTAAAACAATAATCCCTACTAATATTATAAATGCGAAAGTAACTCT